GCAGTTAAAGGTAATGATGACATCACGTATGTCAAGAGAACATACACGCATTCAAGGCAACATTCTTATATCGGGCGTTGAAATCACCGAGTGTGTAATTCCGCGTTCGCTTATTGATTTTGAGCGTTGAAATCACCAAGTATGACTCCGCGTTCGCTTGTGATTTCGAGTATTGAAATAGCTGAAAGAGTGACACATTTAACATCTATTCATCAATATCGACTCTCTCTCTCTCTCTCTCCCCTCCCCTAATTTTTTTATCATTAATTATAATATATTGTTGCATAAAAAATAGCATATTATGAAAGCAAAAGAAAACAGAATTTTAATGAAGATTATTCCAAGCGTGTATAAGTATTATATAGACTTAGGGCACTAAAATGTATACGTTCATCACTGCGTCGAGTTATTCTCGACTAGAATCAACGACCGAAGATTCACGGGCGTGCGATGGATATATATACAGCAACGGATCTTTTAGTTTGCAAGTTATACCGCGTGACGGAAGCTCAGGAACGGAAGTCACTTTCAGTTTTCAATACTCATTATCCGCCGCGATGTACATTAAAGACTCTATCTCATGATTACCTCGCTTGCGTAATTATTCGCTTATCCTCATGGCTAGCATCCTCCGTTTACTGCCTTCTTAATTTTCATTCCCTTGCTATGATTGCTTCTGGCTTCGCAGCTGACGCGGATCTTCTTGAAAAAAGAAAAATGAGAATCTTACAAAAAAAAAAACAGAATTAATTTCATACAGTAGATTTTTTTATCATTGAACTTATGACTTAATCTTGAAATTTGTTCAGTTTTTTACTTTAAGGATATTAAAACTGTTTTTTACTTTTTCATAAAAAATTTAATAACTGTTTTCTTTTATTTCTTTGAAATAAAATTGACTGCAACTGTGATTACAAAATATAAATGAAAGAGAAAAATCAAGAATTTTTTAAAGTATTTAACTTTTCAGTGAGAAATTCTCTTTAATTAAATTTTTCTTATAAAAAAAATAATTAAAGAAATAAATTTTCTTTTGTAGCAAACTATTCATTGCCTTTAAAAATTAAAAGTTTAGTTTCTAATTTGATTCACTCAAGACAAATGGATTAATACAAAGTTTAATAATAAGATACACTTTATAACGCTTTGTAACAAAATATTTTTGACAAATGGATTAACATAACGCTTTATAATAGGATACCTGCACAGACGGCACTTTCTCCGAAATCGGTGTCTTCGGAATTTTCGAGACCCCGATATTTCGCAAGCCAATGTATTATGGTCGGCTACGTGGGCAGTCGAATGTCCGTGTGCGTCCCACGCGTACTCCATCGCATTTCACGCCAAATCGAGTGCGATAAATTTTCTTTTCGAAAAATTTTTGAAGTCACACACAAATGTCTTCGGCGTCTTAATAAATGCATTTTGCGAAAAATACTACATACTTGCATAAACAACATGTATAAATTCTACGAATAAAGTATCATCAAATATATTTAAGACTTTTTATAAAAAAGAACTTTTTTATAAAAAAGAAAGAAAAGAAGAAAAGAGAAAAAGAATATAAATAATTTATTATTCTACAAGTCTGGAATAATAACACACTTCTATAATAATAAAGTTAAAGATGATTTATAAAATATTATAAATTAGAAATAAATAAATAGTTTCGTAACATATGTATATAAATGGTTTCTAAAACATTTGATATTTAAGAAAAATAAATATGAAATGATCATTGAAATGACGAAATAAAATAATGTTTTTCAATTTTAAGATAAATAAAGTGCACGCACAAATTAGAAAAACTTATTAAAATAAATTTGTCATGACTCATGTTATCATTAAAAATTAAATTGATATGCTTCGTTTAATAGAATAATATCGTATATTTTGATCGCATTATATATCTAAAATATAAAAAATAAGATATATTTAAAATATAAATGCATAAGACATTTATTATCATTTATCATATGTAACTTACAAATTATATATCTTGTAAGTTACACTTATCTCTCCGTAAAAATTCTATTTCCATATAAAATACTTAATTTCGTATAAAATAGTATGAATGTGTATTTTCGCAATGTTATAGCATCAACAGGATCTGCGGATCCCAAATAGACATCGGAACATCGTCGAGGTCATTCGAAATTGAGCAGGAGGGACGATTAGATATTCTTAGGATTTCGCTCGTAGGTTTCTAAGGACAATGGTTTTCACAGGATATTCGATGGAGATGGGTTGGAACAGGAATAGCGAGAATGACGTAAGCGCCCAATGTACCACACAGCGCACACATCACGCATATGTATTCGCACGTATCATACAAATACGATTCCGGACCCGTTCTGTTGTGTTAGTTCTCATCGTGTTCGCGACGACGAGCATCAGTTCAGTCACCACTGCAAATAACCGAAGAAATCAATGCGACCGGCTCGCATTTTTTTTCCCGTCCCGCCGAGATATTTCCATCTAGAGTTTCTGCCAACATTTCTTATCTTGCGAGAATGTAGACAATTATGAAATTTATTATGACCAGAAATATTTGATCATTTTTTTTATTGTTTATTTTTTTCTGTTAGTCAGAAAATTTAATAGATTGTAAATTCGAAGATGATGGAAATTAGATTAGATGGAATTTCTTAATATTCCTTATACGATTTAAAAAGATCATGAAAAAAATATAAAAAATATCAAGACTCGCGAAAAAAATATATAAATTTTTTTTCCCGGAGACTGATATATCAGAATATGTAACAGCCATATTATTGAATAAAGATTAACAAGGAATGTTAGAAACGAGCTCAAGGGAATTCTGCTTTGGAAGAAAGATTAAACGCTTTGCAGGCGACAAATCGCATGAAGAAGACGTGCCTGGAACATAAAGTCAAAGTTACATTGTTGAGCGCGCGCGGCGAAAATTGCAATGGCACATAGCAACGGTGAATCGGATCTTTACTTTTGCAAGATTAAATATAACTCATCAAAAATATTTTTAATACATATACAAGATAAGTCCGAAAAAAAGGTTTACTACATTTGTCTCGAGAACAATTAGAAATAAGAGAAGGTGTCATTAAGAAATCATTATCAAAATTGGTTTCCATACTAATTAAAATTTCTTTTTTCTTAAATAAGAGAGATAGAAAGGAATATTTTTGAATAATATTCCATTGACAGTACTTAATGACCTGATAATTTTTATAACAAAGCATCTTGAAAAATCAATCATTGTTTGAAATTAATTAATTAAATTAGAAATCAGAGTAAATGTTTGGAGCCAGATGATCTCGCAAGGATAATGCAGAGTCATCTCTACTAATCCATTTATTAAGAAATATTGAGTTTTTGCTTTGTAGTTATTTGAAAACTAAGGCGTTTTGATATTTACATTTAAATTGTAATTATACAATCGACAAGTATACACATTATGCTATAAAAGATTTCTTTAGTATTTTCAATTTTTAATAATAATTAATTTTTAAAAATGTTATATATTCTAATAAAGATTTTGATATTAATAATTTACAATGAACACTCGTTGTAAAAAAAAAGAATGTATTTCAAATTTTCATTCTGATTTCTAATTTTGTAAATATCTCGACAAAAAAAAGTTGATTTTTCGAAAAGATATTCTGATACAAAAGTATTAAGCGAAAAAATCGAGAATTTTTTATCAGATTCATCCCCTGTATCTACATTGATATCATATATAAAAAGTATATACAACCATAAAAAACATATACAAAACATGAATAAAAAATGAAACAAATATGATGTAAAAATTAAAGATATCAGTCGAAAGGAGAGATCATGAATTTTTCATTTTCAGAATTAAATTACATTGTATTTAAATTATCGATTAATTTAATTTTCAAATAATGCTTATCAAATTTTTCAATTCATTAGCGATTTTTCGAATACATCAAAAAATTTCTCATTCTCTCTCGATTATTAAGTATAAATAAAAATGAGTTTGCAATGCAAAAATATGCAGCTCCAGAAACATGTTTCAGTTGCATCCCATTTATGTTACACACCGGAGGCTTGATTCAAGGTGATATGCGACTGGTACACGAAGCGACCGGATGCACTGGCATAATGAATCCGCAATCACAAATGATTCTGTCCTTCGATACTAGTTCGTCTAGCGAAAGTCACGGGGACGAATGTAGATACGTTAATATCGACGACCTAATAAGTAAATATAATTCATTATAAGCAAAACTCTCCACTTTGAAATTCCTCAAGATCAATGTACGATCTCTATGATAGTCTTCATAGAAGATCAACGAAATGTGAAGGAATTTTTCTAGAGGTATATGACATATAATGAAGAGCTATTACACGATATATCAAAAATCGGTATTATAAAAGAAAAAACTGTGACTCATATACTCTCATATACATTTTTGTTGAACTTAATTTTGAGAATTTAAATTAAATCATGTGAATTTTATAGAAAAAATAAATAAAAAATAAATGTATAAACTTTTGTACAATATTTCATCTCTATATAGATATCTGTAATATGTATATAATTATTAACTTATAGAGATATTATTTTAATATTATATAAAATTTGATTTCGCAATGATTTTGAACTTTTACACTTATGTATAGTCATGATCAGACTTATGCATATAGAAAGTTCTGTGTGGGCCAATATGCGTGGGTAGATTGGCCTTCAAAGTCCTTCGCTGGAAAAGACCAGGATCGTCAGGCGCGTAGGATTTTAGTGGGAAGACTAGATAAAAAACATCTACCATTATATATAACTGTATATAATGATATATAGTGATTCAGATGCTTATTTCACACATGATCATCTCTGCATCATGTATAAAAAAATAATAAACTCTCTCTTTCTCTTTAATAAATATAAAAATCATATATATCTAATTTGTATTATAAGAAGGAAAAGGAAATACTATGGATATACTATGTATAAATATAAGCAATGTTTAAACATAGAAACAAAATGTGTAAACAAGAAATTTAATTTTATCCACAATTTTAATGTAGAATAATTGTAATAGATCGATTTAGAGCAAATGGAACATATATATTGTAATTATCATAATATACACACAATATTACGATTTCTTGTTTATGCATATGGGAATAGAATATAATTAATTTTGTCTAATTTACTTCTATACTTTAACAGCTTTAGATTTGTTTAATTGTTTCCTCTGCTCTTTTCGTTTCTCTTTTTCCTCAGCATCGTGAATGCGTCTCTTCTTTCGCAAGAGCCATATTTCTTTAGCTCTTTCCTCTCGACCTTTCATCATACTTTTGTACAATTTACGGTGCTTTTTCTTGATCATCTTCTCTCTAAGACGATATTCCTGCTTTTCTCGTTTGGCCTTTTCCCATGAATTTTCTTTTGTAATCTCACCAGCCTGTACTTTCATTTTCTTCTTCTGCAAAAAAAATTTAATAAATTATTTATAACAAGAACTTTTTTCTTTATATTAAGAGAAAATTATGAAATTAAATGAATTAGGAAATTCTCATATTAAGAGGAAATTATGAAAAAATAATTATAACAAAACCTTTTCCAATTGAGCTTGTTTCTTCTTTTTATTTTTTTCTTCTTCCTCAACAATCTGTACATTATCATTATCATCATCTTCTTCTTCTTCATCACTTCCTGAACTTAGATCATTCTGAACTTCAATTTCCTCGTGTTCATTCTCATTCTTGTCATCATTTTCTCGTTTGGCCTTTTTCCGTGGATTTTTTTTTGTAATCTCATCAGCTTGTATTTTCATTTTCTTTTTCTGCAAATTTAATAAATTATTTATAATAAGAATTATAATAAGAATTATTTTTTCTTTATATTATTTCATATTAAGAAAAAATTATTAAGAAAAAATAATTATAACAAAACCTTTTCCAATTGGGTTTGCTTCTCCTTTTTACTTTTTTCTTTTTCCTCAACAATCTGTACATTATCATCATCTTCATCATCGTCATCATCATCATCTTCTTGATCACTTCCTGAACTTAGATCATTTTGAACTTCAATTTCCTCTTGTTCATTCTCATTGTCGTCATTTTTTACTTCTTCATCTGAATCTGCTTCCACTGAAAATCCAAATACAAATTAGATATTATTATAATTTTTGCATTTGTGTATATGTATTTAAAAGTGAACTCTTACAATTATCCAATTTATAATTAGGATCCATAAGAGCGCGTTCTTCTGGAGGAATATAAGTCTGATCATGTCGATTATCTATAAATGGTGAGAGATGAGGAGGAAGTATAGCACCCATTAAATATTTTTCTGCAGGTAATAATTCTCTCGCATTTACACTATCAAAAATCCATTGCGGTTGTATGTAGTATCTAGAAGAAAAAAAGACTTTATTAATAATTTGAGAAAAAGAAAAAGCTATATGCATTAAAAAAGCAGATATGATAAGTAATACAAAATGTAATATAAAGTATAATGTAAATATAATATACCTTGATACATATTGTTTATTTATGCTTGGTCTATCTACAATCTGATGAGTTATTGTCTCATCATTCTCATCAAAAGTTGCACCAACAAAGAGTAATTTATCCCAAGAAACTTCTCCGCCAAAGCAACGCAAGATAAATACTAATGGCTCTCTGGGTACTTCCCTATTAATAAAAACTTTTATACCTTTGAACAAATTTTTCAATTTCTGTATTTTCTCAGCTTCTACCCTAGCAGCTTCTATCTTGGTAGCATCTGTTTCCTAAAAAATATAATCAATAATGCTTTTTTTTTACATGCATATATCTGATGTATAAAATGTAAAAGTACTAAATTAAATTTACACTTGAGAATTGATCTATTTCAATTTCATCATCTTCAACTGCTGGTATTGAAGGATCCAAGCTGACCAATGATACATTCAATGCACTTATTCTTTCTGACACATATGCTTCTTCATCGACGAGTATTTTTTCATTATTTCCTGTGTAATAAAATGTTAATTATTTTACTTTTAAACTATAGCAAAATTAAGAGATTATTAATTTATTTTAAAAAAATATTAATATATTAATAATCTTGCTTACCAGTATTTGTTAATTTTGGAGGATAATGTAAATTCAAAGTATGATACAATCTATAATTCACAAAACCAAGCATTATAATATAAAATTCTACAAATGTAGACATAACTTTAAAATCTACTTCGTTTTTTGCCTGAGGTTCAAAACAAAAGTGATGTGGCATTATCCATGTTATTGTTTGTCCTTTTATTTCTGCTTGATAATAATATCCTTTAATTGATATAAACACTTTACGCAATGCTTTAGTATAGATAACAGCATGAAGGAATTCAATTGTTAATCTTCTGCATAATAATGACTGATCTCTCGGTATATGAGGCAATGATGGAAATGTACTGAATAAAAAACAGAGAGTTAAACAGTCATCTAAATCACGTAAAGCATCTATAAATGTTGGATAACGTTCTTTAACTATATGATCCAATTTTAATGTAGGATGATTACTCAAATATTTTTTTATTTTAGCAAAATCTTTCATTGCTTTCGCTCGTCCAATTTTTCTGTTGAATATCTAGAAATATATGTTTATAAAGCATGATACTAAAACTTTTAACCTAAACATTTGATTCCAATAAAATATTGTACCTTATAATCTCTCAGTTTCCATATGATTGGTTCATGCATCAAGAATTGAATATCTTTCTTATGATATAAAGTTTTAATCCCAGGTTCACCTTTTTGTGCTCTTTTACGATTGCGTGGTTCTCTTGGATATATGCCTTTCAGTATGCATAATTTACGGAAATCATTTAGCGTCAATTGTAATTTCCTGAGAGCAGCTCTTCTTGTTATAAATTGCGCCCCTTCACCACTCTGATACTATACATTTAAAAGATCAAATTAAATATTTACTTTTTAAAATATCAAATTTAATCTAGAGTAATGATAATAAATAATTTTTCATAAAAAAGTCAATATATAATTATATTGGTAATCTTTCATTTATCTGTATAATGATATATATCATATTAACATCGATTTACCTTCTTTTTACCTATCACGACCATTGTGATATATGGTTTATATCCGAATATAAAAGTTTATATATTAGGAAATAAACATATAAAATGCACATAAAATAAACACGTGCAAAAGTGACGAATTAGGCTCAACAAGCTGAGAAGATAAAGATTGAAGATGGAAGCCGTGCATGTATTTTCAGGAACCTAGTAACCTAGAACCTAGTAGTAGAGTGTGTTCGAAAATTTTATCGATGGAGTAAAATAACTTTTAATTGACCAATCAGGTCAAAAGGAACAAAGATTTCTTTGTTCTGATTGGTCAATCTAATGTCATATACATATTATTTTATACATATCATTTTATAAATTCAAGACGCTATTTATGTCCATTTAAATGCAACTAATTTATCTAACACAAAATCATACAAAATTCTTTTCTACAATATAGTTTATTAAACTATATATATATATATATATATATATATATATATATATATATATATATATATATATAAAATATAAGAATTATATTTGCGAAATAAATACAAATACCATTTTTTCTTTTTATTATTATGATATTTTTGATTGCTCATAGCACATATATATACAAAAAATTATTATAGTATATTAATTATATTTTTAATCATTTTCTGAATCGCTACCCTCATCACTTTCGTCTTCCAATTCCGGCATGGGAAAACGTAATAAAGCTGCTATTCCAGTTAATTGATCTAATTCTACAAACAAAATCGTGCTTTAATATATTAAAACATAATAGGTATACAATATATATATTACACACAAAAAAACTTATTGAAAATTTTATATTTCATAAGTTTGAGAAATATCATTTATATATATAAAACTTACGTTCACCCGAGACATGCAGACTTGAAAATATTTTTACATCACCACCAGAATCTTTCACATTTTCAACTAGCTCCACATACTCTTTTCTTAATGCAATATTTTGACATCTGGATAAGACAAGTAAAGATATATAATAAAATGTGTACAAGAGTAGAATTAATTTAATTTAAACACTAACAAATAACAAAAAATAAAGCAATTACCTGAACAATTTATCTGATATAAGTAGAGTTTCTACCGCTTGAGCGGTATTAGCTTTCTCAATATGTTTCTTGCCATAAAATGCTCTGGCAGGATCCATTTGTAGAGTGGTATAAAATGATTCTAGAGCCCTTACTTCTCCTGCTGCTTTGGTATCAGAAATTCGGGAGATTACAGCAGGATCAGCCAAAACTTCTGTGAATAAAATAATAAAATTTTACAAAAATACTATATTCAAGTTTTTCAGATACATATATACTACCTTTTAATGAATGTTTAAAACCTGAACTGGCGTGAACTAGCAAAAATTTACTTTTATTCTCTAAGATAATTTTATTATCAGATTTAATAGCTTGTTGTATCATGTAGTCCATAAACTGATCTTTCACAAAACCAGGGCTGGCAAGGATAACACATTTCACTAGATCAAAATTGATGTGTCTTAATATGCCTTGCATAATACTCTCATAAAATCGTGCCAAGCCCTAAATATATATCAAATTAAAATTCTATTCATGCTTCTGTTATGTAAAATTTATAATACTGGCATAATACTTCTTTCAAACCTTTTCATGTTGCGAAACATTTCCTTTCCTTTTTCTTGGTATAACTTGATCAATTTTTGCACGAACTATTGTCATGTTAGATGTTATCAGACAAATATGTGCTATACCTTCTTGCATAATTGCAGCAGCTACATCAGCATTCTAATATAAAATAAAAAGAATAGCAAATTATAGCAAATTATACAATTTCGTTATTTCTTTCTCTTTTTTTAAATTATTAACCTGAGCAGGATCGCACGCAGTATCAACTCTATCCAAAGAAATAGAATCCCACTTGACTTTAGTGATAGTAAACTTCCGATTTTGTTCAACATCCAGTGTATGATATGCTCCCATCTATACAAAATAATGAATCAGATAATTACATATTCAAAGTTTTTCAACAATTTAGTAATTTATTCCTATTTAGAACAGTAATTCATATTATACCAAGTATATAGATAATGTATATATTATAGAAGATTAAAATCAGCAAGATTTTGTCATGTGTGAATCATCCTATTGCTTAAATGATACAAAATACATTTAAATAAGTTAGTTTTCTTAATAACGTATACTAAAATTAATAAGTTTTTAAATTAAGCATACAAGAAATTGTGTATGTATACATGTAATCTCAATGTATCAATTATCTGTATAGAAAGATTCACTGAAAGCACTCAAACTTATATACTTTAATGATAACATTAAGAATAAAATATTCACAAATTTTAAATATTATCAGTAATATTCTACCTTAACATATTTATTTTCTTCCACATTTCTGCCTTTAAGTCTTAGAACACATGCTTGTGTATCAAAGTCGATATTTTCTACACTTATTGTAAGAGTGGTTCTAACTCTATAACTGTTAGAACTGCCAGTTGCTGATTCCATTTGCACTTTCCTATATTGAATACAGAGAATTGATAAGATACTATTGATGAATTCTAATTTACCACATAATTGCCTTAAAATAAAAAGTTCAGCATACCTAAAAGTAGAACAGCTAACTAAGTCTCCTTCACTAATTATGTTATAGGCATGCCACATATCCTCTGTATTTTCAGGAACAAGAGCCACGCTCCTAAAAATCCATCAATTCTAGCATTTTATAATATATATATTGGTAATACATTATATGTATTGCATAAAAAGTATATTTACCCTTTCCCATCTTTATCTATATTCTTCGATACTAACTTCATTTTGAAATATGTTTTTGTCTTATCTGGAATGTACGAAAATCAAATGTATTCAAAATAAATGCATAAGACACTTACAAATTACATTTATCTTTTAATAAAAGAAAAAATTATATTTCTATATAAAAAAGATTAATGTTTGAAAAATACTTGATATATTTTATTTCTATTATGCCAAATTAAACGATACAATTATTTTATAGAAAAAAATAAAAGCTTATATAGGTTAAATATATAATGGCTTATTTAAAAATATATATCAAGAGCCAATAAAGTGTTTTATATTTACCTTATATTTATTGCACTATTATATTCGTAGGAACATTATCCAATTCATGTTTTTTCTTATTTAAAATGTTACACAGTAAATAATGCCATATGTCAAACATGATACCTGTCGCTCTTTTTGATCGGCGATTTCATTCGCAATGTGATTGGTTAACCTCGAAATAATTTCGAAACTATCTTTAGGTGGCGCTTTTTATTTAAAAATTTAAATATATTTTACAAAGAATAAATAATACAAAGATATATTATTGGCTTACAGATATATTGACATCAAATTAGATAACATTTTTCAAGTCTATTTAAATGACATATATATTAATATTATTAGTATTTTAACATTCATATACATTAATACATAATTTCTAAATCGTAAATATTTGCTTGGGAAGATAGAAAGTTACATCAATCCATATAATAGATCACCTCACAAGTAGGTTTAATATCATATATAAATTAAAAAATTAAAAATTTAACAATACAAATCTATCTGTAAGTCCAGCTTCTTTAATCATTTTATACAAGAAATATATAAAAGCCCAATTAACAGGGATTAAATTGATTCAATAGAAACATATATTTAAAAATTAGTGTTACTCCTGTGTGTAATAAATTTAGTGTAACTAGTGTAACTAAATTTTAATTTTATTTAAACATCTTTGATAATTTTTCTTTTTGTGCATTATTTTTTTCTTTAATGGTTGCTGTAAATATTTGTAATTCTTTTTCAACAGTATTATGTAAAGAAGGATCAATTTCAGCAGCTCTCCTTAAATCTTTAACGGCATTTTTTTCATCCCATGCACCAATATATGCTTTACCTCTTCGATAAAGCGCTTTCACATTATCTATAAATTAAAAATAAATTTCTTCTATCAGATATATAATATATATATATATATATATATATATATATATATATATATATATATAATTTATATAAAACTCCAGATTCCATAAATTTATTACCTGGTTCTGTTTTCAAAACTGTTGAACAATGTTCAATAACTGAGTAATATTCCTTATTTAAAAGTTTACATTGCGCATAATTTAAAAGTAATGGTATCTTCATTTGATTCAAAGACGACCACTCTTTGTCATTTGGTTTTTCACTGAAAATCCAATATTAATTTGTATATAAGAATAACATTTTTTTATCTTTTATTTACACCTTAATCAATTTCAAAAAATACTTATTTATTTAAAAAACTTTTATATTTATTATAAATTATTCATTATAAATTATATAAATAAAACTTACGCTAACATGAGTTGTTCCAACATTCCAATAGCTTTTGCATATGTTTCGGATGCACTGTTATATTTATTTTCTCTGAATAAAATATTTCCCTTTTCCTTTAAATATGGAATGTTTTCAAGCTTTTCATTCTCTGTCATTTGCCATGATTCTTTCTCATATTCATCTGGCAATATCACTTTAACAAGTTCTATAAAATATAACAATTTTTATTGTTTCATATAATATTCTATATTTAAATTAAAATAAATATATGTTTATATTTTTAAGGAAAAAATTTTATATTTGTACCTATCGTAAATTCCAGATCTTGAGGATGTTTTATAAGTTCATTCAGATCGGCGTAACCAATGCCTTCATTCTGAAGAGTAACACCGCAACAATGATGATTACGCTTTTCTGATTGTGGTTTACCAGCTTCTCTTAATGTTTTAGAGACAAAAGGATATGCAGTCACTAGCTAAAGCAGAATTCATTATAAAAATACATACTCTGAAAGTACACATACATATTTAAACAATGAATATATTGCAAACATACACTTTTATGTATTTTGAAACAAGCAACTTCATTCAATGCCATCTTTTGTACAATTGCTTCCCATACTTCCAATTTAAATTTTTTTCCTAATACAAGTTCCATTGGATTTCCCATTGTCCTGCTGTCATCTATCAATGTTTTGTCAGAATCATATTTTGTAGTTTTGAAGTGAAATATAACCTAGAGATATAATGGGAATTATAAATAACTAATATATTTGTACAATAAGGTTTAGACAAAAATACATACTTTTGTTCCTGGTACAAAATTAATATTTTTTGTTCCAACATGAATAACAGTTTTTGTTATATACTCTTTGTCACTCATAATGACATGTGTACGTATCTAGACAATCAAGAAATGAATGTAATATTTTTGTGGATCTTATATCATATTCTATTACTTATTGAACCATTGAAGAGATTAAGAATAAATAGCTGACACAATAAAATGAAGATTTTTTTTCTCAGTATATCTCACATTTTCATCAAATATCTGTCGATTTACAAAATATTTATGTCACTAATATGTAGCATGTAGTAGACATAAATGCGTATGTATGTGTATATGCATCAGTATATACATCAGTATATATATATATTAAAAATATGTCGATATATATATATATGTGTTGATATAATATGTTGATATATATATATATATATATATATATATATATATATATATAATATCAACATATGTTGATATGTATTAAAAATATGTTGAAAGTCATTATTAACAAATTAATATAGATATATGAACAAGAAAAATATCGGACATAAATGCATCAAATCAAGCCAAAATTTCTGCTTGTTTCGTTTTCCCAACAACTTGTTTCTACTATTTTTTAATTAATAAAGCATTGAAATATTATTATTTAATACACATTTAATTCGTTTATATACATATAATCTGTATTATATATAATTTGATCAGATTATAATCATTTTTTACTAATAGCAAATAAAAAATCTGTAGTATTTTTATCTCTCGACGAATTTTACAACAGATCATAGAAAATTTATTTTTTTACTATTTTTTACTACTTGTGACTTATTGTGACGATTGCATATATTTCATTCATTCATTTATCATGATTCAATCTATTCCTTTTGTCCCTTTTGTCATTACATCTGAGAATATTTTATATGATGAATTACACTTTTGTTAATAATCAGTCATCAAAAAAATAAAATATTTGCAATTATAATTACGTTTATATTTTCGTTGATTAACTCCGTCATTAGCATTGATGAGCCGTCCATATAGCGAAAAATGACATGTCTAGATGGCGCTATATAGCGACATACACATTTACTTTGCAAATAAATAATGCAAATTTTTTCTTATACTTGACGTAGAAAAGTTTTCAAGGTCACTGATTACGATTTTGATGTCCGCTTTAAAGAATTTAAAATGGGGAATCCAATACGGCGAATCAAAGTCTAATAAAATTCTGGATTTTTCGAATATATGAGCTCTGCCATATTAAATCCTCCATTTTAAATTTTAAAATTCTGAATCGCATTCAGCGACCTCAACCTCTGTATATCAAATTTCAAAAAAAATTTTCACACTTTTTCTTTCTTGCTGACATGGGTATAAATAGTAAAAAAAATTAAACGTGCCGCCGAAGGGATTAAATATATATATTATTATTTATAATTAACGCATAATTTTTTTTCTCTTTTTCTTTAAATTTTTTCATTAAAATTTAAATATCAGCTTTTAAAGAAAAAGTGAAGAAAAAATTATGCGTTAATTTTGTCCAGAAGTATATTATATATTCCATATGAACATAATTCGTATTAGATATTTAAAATGGATATCCAATTGGACATTTAAATGTCTGCTATACGAAATTTCATAAATATTATATTCATAGGAATAAATATCCATGAGGATATGTAAATAATATGAACACATTTAATAGATATTTCTGCTAATCGAGAATATAGATATTTTATATATACAGCTATTAGAGATATCTACTAATTATTCATATAAACGCGAACATTTTGTAAATATGTAGATGTTCGATAGATATCTATTATTAGATATATATGGTAGGATATTATGTATATTTATATTTATGTAAATATATATTATATACATTTATATGTCTCAAAAAAAAAAATGAAACTGAATTCAGAAACTTGCGTTCGGAAATTTACTTGTTGCAAAATATAGTGTGTTTGCTTGATCAAAACTGAAAAAAATTTCTTTAATTTTCTGATTAATCAAATAAACGCTAAGGAATAAATCTTGGAACATTACTTTTGAAAATTGTGTGCGCGTAACTTGGATTTCAAAATGATAATATAATAAATGATAATATAATATAAAATTATTCACATATTGTATGACTTGTGTATTATATACGTTTTTTCATTGGTCAATTTAATTATAACGAACTAACAAACGTGTCAATTTAATCATAATGACTAACAAATGTGTTTTATATTATATAAATGCACACATTATTGCAATCTAAGAACATTTATTTTTCACGTGCAGTGCTACACTTATCTTCGTGTGAGGCGCATTGCTACGTTAGAAATTGATGAATTTCAGGTATGAATTAATACATGGTACTCATACACAACGTGTAGTGGGCTCAATTAAAATCTTTTTTGGTAATGATCAAAGAAATATATAGTTTTATATAGTATAACTAAATAAGAAATATGAAATAAGGAAACGTCACTATCGTAATATTATAGCTGTGTTCCAAAATTCACTGCCAGTACTGAAAATCTATAGTGTACGTCATGTAAACTATATATTTTCAGTACTGGCAGTGAATTTTGGAACGCAGCCTATATGTGAGCCGTTTATTTTGAAAGTGACCTAAGTCCATTTATATTTAAATTGAGATATTTAAGAGTTTGCGTTTCAACTTCAAGTTGTACACGTTACTACAGTCAAAAAAAAATAATTGACAAATGGACTTCGGCCACTTTCACACAAAATAAGCGGCTCATATGTAGTTGAAGTTTTCGATCTAATGAAATTCCTTCTCCCTCTCCTTCGCAGAAAGACACATGTATTAAAAAGGCAAAAAAGTGATAAGGCGCGACAGTGCAACAGCTACATTTCAGGAATAGGAAAAGATAAGGAAGGACTAGAATAGAAATCGATAGCATATGTTATATGATTAAGGTAAATTAAGAGAAATAATACACCAAATCAATTATTTATTTATTTTTTTATATCTACTGTATTTTTATGTATATTTTGTGTAGAAAAACTGAATCAGTTCGATAATGTTTCGTTCCATATATATGCATAGAGAAATCGATCACTTACGTAATGAAAAGGGTGCAATATATATTGATGCGTTTCTTACATTACATTAACACGTGATCAATTGCTGTTTCTCCGCAAATATGCCCTATGCAAATCCATCTGAATCACTGAATCATTTCCTCTGCCTTCCCCCACAGACGGAACGACGAGCTGATGAACAGCTGTTCGTCAGTGACGTAATTCATTTCGAGAAAGGAGAGGGGAAAGATGGATACCCCTACCACGTATAAAACGAGAAATTATAAAATGACGACAATATTACCTTCGATTACAATCTCTGTCTAAACTGATAGTTCACCTCAATTAAGATAAAGGATGTGTTTCGTTGACTTTGCAAAAAGCCTGATTGATTCGAAGAAATAAAGTAATTTGACTGACAGTTAATGAGTCATTAAATGACTCGAGCATTTGTAACGGTAATTTATACCAGTGATCTGAAATTACTGAACACGTATACACAGTCCGTTGTATTTGTATAAAATGTCTGCGTAATTGTCTGTTTAATTAATGAAAAAGTAAACACGAGATAAAAGAATAGATTCAGTTCTTTTCCTGAATAGATTCAGAATTTCTACATCTTCGTATGTATATAAGATATGTGAGTTTCAAAAAATCGATAGCGAAATCTACCTATTATATATATGTGTATTATATATGTGTGTGTGCGTGTGTGTGTGTGTGTGTAATATGTTTATATATATATATATATATATATATATATATATGTATTTAAAATACATTTCTCCGAATAAATTTGCTCCTGGCTTCTGTCGGTGTTATTTAATCTTCCGATAGATATAAAAACGATTTCTTTTTACAGACTGGTTGACGTGTCCGCGGGCATTTTAAACAATCATAAATTTGATTTGAAAATTTGTACACATTAAAATGGATTCCACAAAAGAGAATTCTGTTGACAATCCTGTGAATGGATATAAAAAAGAAGGTTAGTTGTTAAGTGCTATTTTATATAGCGTCATGTATATCTAGACACAATTTTGCAATAATATTGAATTTCTTTTTACAGACTTCAAGGAGATTCAGATACCAATGCCATGGGGTCAGATCAGTGGTTAGTAAGGAGATTATATCATAATTTTTTATTTTAACATCAGATTATATTAAACTTAGAATTTACAACAATTGTGTATCATGCAATGTGAGATGATAGAAACCAAACTATATATTTATATATTTGGATTTGATTATTTAGATATATGCAAAATATATCTTGTAAAATATAATATGGGCTGTCCTAGTTTATATCATATTACATTTGAAATTTATGAAATGCAACATATTGATAAATTTAGGAAAATGGTGGGGTCCGAAAGATCAGCAGCCTATAGTGGCAATACATGGTTGGCAGGACAATTCAGGAAGTTTTGACAACTTGGTACAATTATTGCCATCAAACATAGCTATGCTGAGTATAGATCTGCCTGGTCATGGCTTTTCTTCTCATCTACCCTACGGACAATTCTACTATGTATTTTGGGATGGGGTTATCACACTGCGTAGAATTATTAAATATTATAAATGGAACAAGGTTAGCCAGCAAGTGTTAAACAATGATTTAAATCTTTTTCAATATTTTTAATATTTATTTATTTTTATAATTAAACATGTATATAAACATAATATTGAATATATAGCATAGCTTTTATATGCTTGATTTCATACAATTTAAATTGCAATTGCCATCTAAGTTTTAAAGTACATGTAAAATATTTATATCATTTATTTTGCTACATAATTATTTATATGCATATTTTTAGCTTGAATATTGGTATCTTTAGAGTAATACTTATTTAGCATTGAACTGCAACATATTACTAAAAATTCACAATTTAATATTCACATTGCATTACCAATTGCTATAAACATCATTATTAACAATTAATGTATAATTATATATATATATATATATATATATATATATATAATTATATGTATATAATTATTAACAATATATTTTAAAAAGGCTGACTGTTATACACAATATATATATCTAAATAGTTAAGAAGTTATTTTTTTAAATTTTATATATATATATATATATATATATATATATATATGTTAATTATTTAAAATATATTATAGACTGTAGAAGGGAATAATTGTTGTATAATTATGCATTATATTATATTGAGTCCCCAGTATGAAAAAACTCTTTACTTAGTTGCATTTTCAAAAATATTGAATGACTATTATATGACTTTTCTTTTTTTACTTAATAAATTGTTACAGATTTGTAAAGGAAAGAGATGTGTGCCTTGATAAAAAAATGTCATAAAGTAGAAGATAAATTCAAATTTAAAATTAATTTTTCTGGATTCTTACCTGCAGGCAAATGGTGGGGCCCTAAAGAGCTCCAACCGATAGTGGCACTGCATGGTCGTCAGGATAATGCAGGCACTTTTGACACATTAATGTCATTGATGCCCAGTGATGTTTCTGTTCTTTGCTTGGATATGCCAGGGCACGGTTTTTCCTCACATTATCCAAAGAGTCAATTCTATTATGTCTATTACGATGGTATCATATTCCTTCGTAAAGTTATTAAACATTTCAAATGGGATAAGGTTAGCGAATGAATAAATTTTACCCACATTTTTGCATAATTAATCAATTTATTATTGATGAATTAAATAATCTGACACTAAAAAAATCTATGCAATAATATCACATTTACATTTCTCGCATCACACACCTAACAGTCACCCTTGCACTTATGTTATGTATTTATGTTGCATTCAAGCGCATGATAATCAATATTTTATGAGAGTTATATTAATGTTAATATTTTATTATGTGTTTCTTAATGTTTTAAAAAATATATATATATATATTTATATATATATATATATATATATATATATATATATGTTGTAAATTAATGTATAAGCTTATTGTGATTTAATGCACTTATGTTATGTATTTATGTTGCATTCAAGCGCATGATAATCAATATTTTATGAGAGTTATATTAATGTTAATATTTTATTATGTGTTTCTTAATGTTTTAAAAAATATATATATATATTTTATATATATATATATATATATATATATATATATGTTGTAAATTAATGTATAAGCTTATTGTGATTTAATTGTATTAAAATAGGTAAAACTGCTTGGCCATTCATTGGGTGGTGCTATATCATTTCTATATGCAGCATCATATCCAGATGAAGTTGACAGTCTCATAAGCTTGGATATTGCTAGTCCAAGCGTAAGGGATATTACGAAAACAGTTACAATAACTGGAGACTATATTGACAAATTTCTGAAATATGAAGCATTAACATTGGAGAATGTACCATGTTATAACTACGACGATATGATTGACATAGTGGAAAAAGCATATGAGGGTAATATAACAAGAGAAGGAGCAGAAATATTAATGAAACGAGGCATGCAACCATCATATAAAAAGGGCAAATATTACTTTTCTCGTGACCCTCGACTAAAGGTAAAGGCATTTATTCATCATATAGTATGTTAACGAATATATTAAGATGTGATTATAAAAATGATAATATATGTATATACATGTGTTTGTAAGATATCATACACTTAAGACTATTTATATTACTCTTCTAGGTGTCCATCTTGGGCATGTTCACACTAGATTTAGTACTTGAATATGCATCCCGCATAAAATGCGCATACCTCAACATTCGTGCTGTTCCTGGAATGAAGTTTGAGCAACCCGAAAATTATCAAAAAGTATTAGATAACATAAAATTGGGAGCTAGAAAATTTGAGTATCACGAAGTGAAAGGTACTCATCACGTGCATTTGAATGAACCTGAAAAGATTGCGCCTATTATCATAAATTTTCTACAAAATTAATAATATTATTTAGTTATTAATGATATCGTTACTTAAGATTAAATAGTTTCAGACAGAATAACCATTATCAAATTCTTTCAAATCTAAAATGCTGATACAAATTTATATTTCTGTTTAATGCACATATATTTATTTACATCATATAAATAATATACATATGTAAATTATTTAAGAAATAGACTTTATAATATCTGTGAAACAATATTGATAAGTAGCAAGTTTATAAAATAATTGAATAAATAAACTCCATTATATGTTGTTTTACTATGTGGAAAACGTAGAAACAAAGTGTATTGGAAGAACAATTAGTGCTGTGATAAGGAATAGAAAGATTTATATGTAAATGAAGACAAAAGCCTTGAAATATGCTTATTTTATTTGTCTCAAATTAATTCTTTAAGGCAGGAATCTTTATTTATGTTAATTAATGTCGCTTTTAAATTGTGATTGATAAATAAATATGTGAATATTATTTAATTTATGTAATTAATTTTATCAAAAATTGACCAATATGGCATAATAAAAGCACTTATGCTAATGGATTTGATCATAATTATTCTTATATTTTTACACATGCATACATACATACATACATATATATATGTATATATATATATATATATATATATATATATATATGTATGTATATATATATGTATATAATTTTAAAAAATTTATTTCCATCAAATAACAATAAAATATACAAAAAGAAAAGAGATTCATGAAATTAAATAAATTATAAATATGAAAAAACCTAATTATTAACCTGGTATATCTACGATCTTAAAATGCTACACAATCATTCCATAATTAAAATCTTAAGATCACATTTAAGGTGATTTTAAATATAAGAATAGACTACGAATATGTGGTGTATTAATCATGTGCATCCAATCTGGATAGCTCAGTGATCTAGAGCAATTGTCCGGAAAGCGAAAGACTCGGGTTCGATTCCCGATCCAGCCACTTGTGTCTCACATATTTTTCTAGTCTGCGAATATTGTTTTCTAGCAATTATTCGTTAGGCTGAAAAATGTGTGAATGCTCTCTCCACATGATATGCGTCAATAATGCCGTTGCAACGAATGGATTCTGTCGCTCATTGATCAAATGGACATAAAGACACGTCCGATCTCCTCCACATACATCCCTATTTTTCTCTGATGTATACATATATATTGTAAATGTGTATGGCTACAATTGCTATGCGTATTCATAGCAATCGCGTCAGTTACACGACCCATAGCACCCTGGGTCAAACATTCTAATGCCTCTTGAGCGTTAGTAATTGCTCTTTCAATTATGCCAAAGATTTTTATACTTTTTCCATCTTCTCTGATATCTACAATAGACTGACTTCTTTGCTTATCAGATAAAAGGTCATACAATTATTCTTGATATAATTCCATGTATGACGCAGCAACTTTAAAACTCCAGTCTCTCTTCCTTCGATTTAATTTTTTTAAATATATCATCAATAATCTATTATACCCTTCTCTTCCATTCCAACATAATTGATGCCCATAGAATGAGTTTTGCTATTCCCAGTTTGTCCATATGCCAATATTTTGTAACATTATAGCCTGATAATGAAAAATTAATTTTCAATGCAATAGAATCACAACATATATCATCAATAATAGCAATTTAGAAAATGCGAAATAAAAAGTAATATAACGGATATTAACTCGACAGCGGTAATGATAATTCAGACGGATCGAATGTTTGCACGAAATCGATAACATAAGAAAGCGAAATACACGAAAAGCGCTGAGTTGTTCAAACTCCACTTGGAATCATTATTACAATGTTGTTGAAAAAGTGTCATCGTTGGCCGGTCAGTGGCCCTATCAAAAGCCAAAAACGAGACTGCTTTGTAGTAGCCTGGTGACTTTAATCACATTTTCTATGATTCGACAAGTAATTACAATAATTCTCTTTCTAGTTAAAGTTAAAAGTTAACTCTTTTTAAAATAACTAAGTTGAGTTAAAAATTATTAACTTTTTTTTTAACTTTTAACTAATCAACTAGTTATTACCCAACCCTGATTGTATTGTTATATGTATATGTCACGCATAGATATTTGCAAATCTCGATTCAAACAATTAACGTGTAAGAGTGCTAATTCCGTGACAATTTTACATTCTACAAATGACACTTATCGCAAACGAATTGAGTTTTCGATGTACACGCATCGAAAGGCTTTAAAGTAAGCATCTAATTTCTTTATCATCGCATCTAATCTCTTTACTGTTATGTGCATTTTATTTCTTTATTATTTCTTTAGTAGGGAAAACAGATTTTAAAAATTCACATTTATTATTGTATAGCATTATTTATTTTATTATAGATTTGCTCAGCTTATTGAAGATATGTTTTCATCGACTCTGGCAATACAAATAATGCTGAACACAGTAATGATTAGTATTACTCTATTACAAGTACGTTATCATTCTAAAACTATGCTTCACATATATACAGGATGTTTTATATAATATAAATGTAGGCAGTCTATGTATTTCTTGTCAAAAAGAGCATTTTTCTTTTAAAATTTCTGGAAATGCTTATCCTATTTTTAATATGTCAATTCATTGTTAATTCTTCGTGTTTTCAAAAATTTTGATAAATTTATTCTATAATATTTATATTTAGTCAAATATATATATATATATATATATATATATATATATATTTATAATGAAACATTTGAAGAAATTTTATTTGAATTTTATTTGATGTGACATAAATATAAAATAAATACAATATAAATATTAAACATAGCAAAGAATTAAAACATTTGTGCGAAGAATTATCTGTACAAAGAATCAAGAAACTGCAAATGCACACATTAACAGATAAAATATTTAAAAAACAATCCATTTTTTCGTAAAATCCTTTATGTTGTCAAAAGAGCAAATTATTTTTTGACAAGGAATATATTAGTTTTATATCATTATTATATACAAACTATTCAATTTTTAACATTACTGAAAGATTAATGCGATAAAATTATTGTAAATAATTTTATTAAATTATTAAAGAATAGCTTTTTAATGTGCGCATGAAAAGTTGAATAAAAGTTTAATTATTTCGAAACGCGAAATATAATAGGCCTTAAATGTTAAGTCATTTTTATGGTCAAGGATACACATATGTGATGTCTTTTTTGTCTTTTGTCCTCATTTTTTCCGTAATAGAAAATTTGTATCATTAATGTAAATTTTTATTATAAATAAAAATTATAAAATTAACGTAGATAAATATCTCATAAAGTCTACATGTACCAAGAACATACAAGAAAATTTCAATATACACGTCTATTAGTGAACGCACAAATGTTCAATAGTTGGATGGATAAATGTAACAAACATGCTTTGCTATGCTGATTTAAATTTATGCAACCGGACAAACGATAAATACATATAGTAAAACGCAATATTCTCTATCAATTCCATAAAATAAAACTTCTTCAGTAGTTTAAAGGCGTGATCTACAACGTTCCAAATAGATAAATTTAATATGTCGTAAAATATATATATATATATATATATATATATATATATATATATATAAGAGCTGCTATTTTTACAATACAAGTATCGTGAAAAATCACAGGATATTTGTAAAAGAATTTTGAAAAAATCGTCAACTTATGGATACATCCATGAAGAATATTGCGCAGGGTCTCTGACCAAACTGTAAAAGATGGTACCCCTTAAGATAATGAGACTATTGATACAGATGTTTGCAGGCGTTACGATGGTCAGAGTAAAAAGTCACAATGTTATTTCGTTTATTCAGCTGTTATGCCACGTAGAATACAAAATTATACCTTTTTATTTCACGTGTCTCTCAGTCTTTCTAAATTTTTCGATGTGTATAGAACATTCGTACATACATATTGCTCGGACGAATTTTTAATATTCCTCTCTAATATTTTATAAATGTAAGAAGGTAAGTGAATAAAACACAAGGACGTGCATATTCAATAATTTGAATAAATTGCGCACTTTACAGTTCGAAAAGTTGCACTAAGGCCAATAATAAAACACGTAATAGTAAATTACAAATCCAATCTGCCAACAAATTTAATGGTCAAAAAGTCACGCCGGTAAAATAAATAGTCTATGAAGGTCAAGATTGGCGTTTGCGTTGTATGTAAAAGACAGAAATATATTGCAAAATAAATACAACTTCCCGGCAAATTATTGGCCTGGGCAGCCTCTTATCGGGCAGCTACTGAATACGTGGCCGTCCTATCGTATGTGTGCACGTTGTGCGCGCCGGTAATTATCTATAATGATAACGCGCGGTCACACAAAGAAAATAAATATGAATATAGCATGCATGAAGACAGGTGGACACTGTTCGCCACTTGTCCACGCATCTCCTTTATGCATAATTCCTCGAGAAGCTCTCTTGCGCGGTGCCAGGTGAAAAGACCCATCAATTCGCAAGGTATCATACAATAAGCTTACGGACATTCGTCACACGGTCCTTAAAAAGTAACGCATTTGCCTATAACGGATCTCTCGTGAAATCTTTGAACGAATAGATTATAGTATAAATTAACTTCATTAGATTTCAGTTTGCAGTTCGCATTTCTTTGAAAAGCAAAATATCAACTATGTAACCACATTCGTGTAAAGTCGATTACGTCGTTGACATTATTACAATATTAGTGATGTAGTTTGTATTGCATGTGTAATGATAATTTGTTGCGAGCAATGATAATATTATAGATTCGCGTAAGATGCGGATAAATTATAATATATCTTTATTTTATTTTTGCCGTATTTTTAGTTTATGTAAAGGTAAACGTTTTTTGCGGTAACTCGAATCGAAAGACTGGAAGTGTGCAAAGTACAGACTGAAAGTCTGAATTTGCAATATTATTAATGTGCTCACGCTTTATGGATCAATTAGTTCTCTCGCTTTGTTTGAAGCACATGTTCGCAACAGCTGCATATGGTTAGACACGTGATGATCTATCTGATTCATCGATCCTAACGATCAACAAACTTTTCATTTGTAAGTTTGTTCGTTCGGCTCGAGTTATCAGGTTGAATCAAGAAATCATTGAGGATCGATCGCATAAAAATGTCAAGACTCCATATTTTGCATATTTTTACGAAGATAATTCCGATAGGTCGATGAAATTTGTTGCAGTTCCGCATCGGTAGGTGTATAAGATGTATAAGTTCTTAGACGTGCTCTGGACATCTCCAAATCCTGTCACGAAATAACATGAGTCAATTTCGTTTAAGTTATGTATATTATAATTAGAATATAATATTTTTAATATATATTAAATAAAATATGTATACATATGATATTACAAGCATCTATGTTATAATACAATTTTTTAAATTAAAAAAAAAAAAAATATATATATATATATATATATATATATATATATATATATATATATATTATTAATATTCAGTGATAGATCATAAATATTTTTTAAATTATAAACTTTAATATAAACTTAAGATAAACTTTCAATTACAGTTAATGTAACAAAACAAAGAGCTGCTGAGTAATAGTTTAATAATCTATAAAATTAATAAATCACAAATGACTTGAGCTGTATATTCAATATTTTGCATATGAAGCTTTTATAAAGTCTACATAAATTTAAAAATTTGCTATTATAAATAATTTTCGCAAAGAATTTTTTCTCTAGACACATCCTCTTTTCATATAAATATATATACTATAACAAACCTTTAGAAGAGTCTGATTACGAATGCGAGATTTTTCCAAATCTATAAGGAGATTTGATGACGAATTGGAAACTCTGGAAACATCCTTATTACGAATTTCGCGACGCAATTTATTACTGTAAAGTAAAGTAACAAATAATTTGTGAAAAAGTACGTATATTATCTACAATATTATTAACAAATGATTATAATATTTAAATACCGTTCTTCTATTTCTTGTTCAAATTGTTGTTCTTTTTGCACATACTCATCAAAAACACTTTTAATATCAATACTGCCGGTCCTTGCCATTTCGTGGAATCATTGACTCATTATATGCGAATAAAATTTTCCATATCATAATAACTAATATTTTTACAATTATAAAATTAGAGGAAATAAAGAACAGAAAAGATCTATTTCGTGCATTATATACAGAATGTACTATAGATTGTATGGTTACTAGGGCAACGTAATGCCCGTAAAGCCGATCGATATCTACTGTAGTGTATGAATTATGGCGCGTATAGCAACAAAATCACTGACATTTAATAATACTTGTTAAAAATCTACAATATTGTGTCTAATCTTAGATTATTTAAAGTTAAATAAAATAGCTTAAATAAGTTATATTCAACAGATATATATTCATGGCTCTAATAAATATAATATACACGTCAGTTTATTTAATTATCCAAATATATGCTTAATTTTATAATGCAGTTTGGTTGAAAAGATATATTTCTAAAAAAAAAAAGAAGATTCCATAAAAGATTCGAATTCACTCATCCTTCTAAAGACTGCGATTTCGGCTGCAAAAATACCATGTACATATATATATTAATATAATACTATGTATAATACTCTTAATATATAATAATTAATATAATTCTATATAATATTTACCAGTATATATATATGACTCGGCAACGAACGTTCAACCACTTCCGATAGTCGTCCTTTACCCAGTTTGTATTCTTCGTCTGTATGTTATAGGCGCAATATATAAAATAAATGCAAATATATCAAATTCAAGAATTATACAATGCAAGAGTTCTTAAATCGCTTGATTCGTAAGTAAGTGTCATTACCTGCAGGTACAGTCAGCGATAATGTTGGAAGAGCAACGAAACCAGCAACTAGTGGTCGTAAGACCCAATCCACTTTTCGAATATTTCTAGGTGATATATAAATATTAATCTAAAAAAATATACATAAGATAAAATTATTATGTACATAAATGTACAATATAAATATGAGGAAGAAGCACACCTGCTTTTGTCCAGCAAACATGAAAGCATCGCTGCCTTCCATAGCCAAACGCAAAGTGATGAGGTAATCGGAATGATTTTTTATAAAATATGAAATACAAAACGGTGTGCGAACCCATCCATGAGCTGGCATTTTGGCTTCTAATCCGATCACTGCATCTTCAACCCATAAAGGAGCTAGAGTTACGCTACTACTAGTTTCCAGCGCAGTTTCGTCGTCCGCTCTGCGAACATTATAAAATTTACAGATATTTCTACATCTAAGAATTTATACTAGTCATTTTTACCTTTTCCACTTGATAGTATATACTCCAATACTAATAGGCTGTTCGCCACCTGTCTTTGGAATTAAGCAATAGGTGTCGGTTCCAGTTTCACCATCACAGAGTTTGACATCCGCTAAGATGGATTTTTGATTATCGAGATTACTCTCTGTCTGAATAGAGTCCGCCTATATAATTTCGAGCATAAATTTAATATTCAAATTTCTCCAACTCAATTTGATTTTATAAATAATAAAATTAAATATTCTCTGGATTTACCAGTTCTATAGATGTGCTTAGAATATTTATCGGCCATGGGGAAACGCACGTAATATGAGGCATAATAATAAAGGGTTCATTAACAAATCCCTTTGTTAGCGGTTCAAATAATGTAGTGTAAAATTGTGTTGCAACTTCAAATGGCTTCTTAACTGCCAATGAATACATTAATTCTTTACTCCCCTTAATTTGTTCGGATTTACAGTAATCGGCCTATGTATTACATAATAAATAATAATAACACATTATGTCACAACATGTATAATTATATATTAATTAATTAATGTGTTGATTTATGAAAAAATAATGTATTTGTACCTTTATTATGATATTTCTATCGCCTACTTTATGTGCTCTAATATGTACAACATGTTTGATTGATGAATCTTTTGTCATATCACCAATGAAAATTGTTACTTTTGACTGCTTATTAAGCATATTTATGCTTAGTTCAGCTGAAATATATATTTTAGAATAGCTTATTTTTTAATAGAAAAAATGATCAAATTTTAAAAACATAATCTATTAATTTATAAAAAGATAAAATATAAAACGGAGAAAACATACTTGATTGCTCATTATTACTTTCTGATACGAGTATTACATGTAAATATATTGCGTTAACATTCTCGTTAGCTGATAGAGATATCGTAATGGGTAGCCACTCGCCTAAAAGTGCAGGATTATTCGATTCTGCGTTCAGATTTAAACTCGATTCTTCCTGTTTAATTTCCGCATGAATTAATGGTCTTATCGCCTCAAATTCACCTCCGCTAATGCAAAAATTATGATCAGTTATCAAATCATCAAATGGTATTTAAAAATTGCTAGGAATTATCTTTATAAATATACCGGAGTTGTTGTATTTCGGGATACAGACGATCTAGTAGATTCGTTTCTCTACCCATAGCTGAGAATCTTAGTATAATACAACAACGTGCGCTATCACCCATTTGCAATGAGACTGTGTTAATACGAATTTCTGCACCATCATTTTGATGAGGCGCTTTAAAATTGAAATAAAATTTTTTCGTTTCTTTTGCTTGAAAAATAAGATCAGATTGTTGAATATCACTAATTGGGATTTCAGTATTATAACCGGGACCACTAATTGTTATTGTCACATTAGAAAATTGAATAATACCACCATAAGAATTTCTGTAATTAAAGAGAGACAATAATTTTTTGCATATCCTATAATTTTTTTTGACAAATATATCTCTAAGTATCAACGTAATTAAATGCGATATTACCTTATTATAACTTCGACCGTAATCATTGTATTAACTGCATACGTTTGCTGCAAGAATCGTGCTTTAACATCGACAAATGATGTCATGTTATTGTCGTCAATTGTAAAAACATTTGGCTCTGAACGATTTAATTCCGACACCCATTTTTCCATTGCAAGATGCTTAATGTCATCTGGCAAGTCTGGTTCTGGATTCGGTGGTTTTTTCTATATTATCAAATATGAAATAAATTTAAATATACATAAATGTTACATAAGTTACATAAGTTTAATAAGTGGCTTATCAAATTTTAACCTGTAGTATATTCATAATATTATTATAAATAATAGCTTGCTGTTCTTTTGAAAATGTAGTTGAGGGCCCTAGAGCTTCGAGAACCAGAGTGAGATAATCTTGAATATTAGTCGATAGATATGCCGCTCGTAACGCATTCTTCAATATATCTGTGAGTAAGACCGGCCATCGTTCTCCGTGATATTCCCACAACATGTGCATCAATAATCTGACCAATCAAATTTTACGATTTTCATGTTAACACACAAAAAAAATAGTCTAGAGAAAACAGTGTCAGGATCAGAATAGCTTAGTCTAATGACTAAGTTATGCTTGCAACTTGAATCTTTCACATAAAGAAAATATTTATTTGAACTTACGTAAGAACTTTGCCATAATCCCGAGCATTGAAATATTCCTCTGCCATTTGCACGACTAGAAAAAAAAGTATTTTAAGTATATTATAAGTAATTATTTTCTCTAAATTACAAAAACATACCCAATAATCGGCGCATTCTTGGACAACGGTATACCTTAAATTGCGATATTGCATTTCCTAATAAGCCAATAATTATCATCTGAAACAAATGACAATTACTTATTGCTATTTATTATATATTCATGAAAATTAGAAGCAACAATATATTTATCTTACAGAATGATTAACTGTAGTTTTCTCTCTATATTGCAAAGCCTGTATACCGATAACTTCTCTAGCTGTATCTGCAGGTTCCGCACTTAGTTTTCCCGGCCGCCACGGCCGCTGTCCATAAAATTCAAGTTTCTCTTCGCCTAATAATGGATCTGGATCTGGATAGCTATTTATATCCTAAAACAATAAATATTAATATTAATATAATACTAATATTAAATATTTCAATATTCAATATTTCAAATTCATATAATAAAACATAAATAAAAAATCCAAACCAATGTTTCTGTTATAAAAATTATTCGTACTTGACAGAGTTCTTTACATGCAGATTGTCGTAGACTTGCATGATTGGCAGCTAATTGAAAATAATATCCTGGATGTTGCGTTTGAACAGCAGGTAATCCTTGACGAATGGCTTCATCAAATAATTCTGCAAATGTAGAGAATTGGCTACTCATCCAAGCATGATGTTCAAACATAAGCTCTTTTGGACCAGTTTTTAGCTTAAATCTGATAATAAATAATAGTTATTATCTATTAATAATAATTATTATTATATATTAGAGTATTAGAGAATTCTCTTGTAAGCTAACACAATAAATATTAATACCTTTCCGTATGAAGTCTAAATTGAGAAATGGCATCTTTTGGAAGATTTAAGCTAAACATTATCCTGCATAACTTATAATTTATAAAACCAGCGATGGTTTTTATTTCTACCGCATTTGCATCCGTCATTCTCGTTTCTAATAAATTATGATAAGCTTGCATATAATGCCTGTAAAACATAAATGTATATACATATCTTGCAGCATATAAAAGTTTTTTATATTTTTAGTCTTACTTTTGAGCAAGATGCAGTTCCTGCTTGAGTTCGTTCAAGAATGCCATTTTAAATTGATGACGAACAAACAAATACTGATGAACATTTTTAGTGAGTTGATCACGATGACTTTTCACATTCCGATATTCGTGATAATAAAAATTTTGTGCCAAATCATAGAACGCTGTCTCTAATCTATGTTAAATAAAAAGAGATATATTGTACTATATTTTTTAAAAACAAAAAATGAATGAATAAAACAATAAAAGAATAAAAAAAACTATTAAAAACCTAGATATATATCCCAATAAATGATCAGCATGTGGGAGAATATACAAAAACTTTGCAGTTAAATCACAAGCTCCACACAATGCTGTTGCACGTTCAGTCGCAACCACATCTTCAGCACCAGGAAGCGGTTGAAGAGCATGTTGTATCAATACTACAGCTATCTTTGTACTTCTTCCATCAAGGGCAGCTCTAAAAAAATATTATAATCATTCAAAAAAAATTAATATTATATCAACAATATAATATTAAATAATTAAATTGTTTGTATTTATTATATCTTAAATTATACAAATAATTACCTTAAAGATTGTACTCTAGAAGCACACTCCATTTTTTTTTCATTCCACAAAGGATCATTCCAATCCAAGTCATAGAATACAACAACTACAGAAGGAATATCATTGAGATATTTGTTCATCCAATTCCTTTTTAAGATCCCTTTAGGTATATACCATTCATATGAACTACGCTGAAATATATAAAATAATAATATAAATGTAATAGTATATAGTGTAAACACAAAAATAATAGCAATGTCAAAAAAATAGTTTCTAATGTTTAAAAAATGTTCTTTTACAAACTTATTCCAGTAATCTATATTATATACCAAACATCATATACCTTTGGTTTAACAGTAGGAAATTCATGTGATAAACTAAGTAGTTTAAACTGAACAGCTGCACAATCTGGTCTACGATTATTGCTAAATGCATCCCAAATAGAACGGTGTACTGGATTTGTAATATCTAATCCAGTCAAACCTATCAAAGCTAAAGGCTTAGCTGTCAATTCCATTGGCAGTTCAAACATTATGAAGCCTTTGCTAGAAAAATAAATCAAGTATGCAAAATAACTCACAAGTTTAATTTTTCACTTGATAAAGCCTATTAAATGCATCATATTATTATATGATGAGAATATTTATACATAATGTAAATAATTCTTGTTATATATTTATTATCTGTTTTTTTTTCCTTTAACATTTTAATGTTATTTTTATTTTTTTACAATTTCTTATGTAAATAATACCTGAATCTGCTTACGAATAAATTACATGGGATATATTGCTAAAGAGTAAATTGATTTATAATTAAACGTCGTAATCAATATTTATCAATATATATCATTTACGCACTTTGACAGATTATAAACAATTAGAAATCATCAGCAGCAAGGAGAAGGAGGCTAGCAGCTGAGTTAGGGTTAGGTTAGGTTAGGGTTAGTTAGGATACAGGAAGCGTCTCGCAACGCGCAGTCGCAGTGGAATATAAGGATTAATTTCAATTTTTGAATTTAATTTAATTGATAACCGAAATTTTTGGTAATTATCACACTCATAATACAGTTAAAATTAATTATTCAATACATTAATTCGATATCGTTACATATACACAGTTTCCTTTACGGATGCATTGTAAACGTACAATATTCGTGATAAGTACAAACATGATTTTCTTTGATCCTAATACACAATTATATATATATAATATTTAATTAATTATTAATTATTAATTTTAATTTATAATTAATTATGCAATAACGCGACCCTCTAACATAAAAGCAGTAGCGTCTGACGGTTGTTCTTCTTCCTCCATTTTAGCTTCTTTAGTCGGGGACTCAGGGGAGTTCAATTTGGTATGTTCTGGTGTTAATCGAACGGTAGTGCCGTGTCGACTGTAGTCTTCGATCTCGCCTATCGGTTGATCAATATCTTGCCCAGCATTTTCATTACATCTTCCCTATTTTTCCCGAAAAATTAAAAAATTATTATCTATTCAATTATCTATTTCATCATTTATTTAATCATTAATTACTATTAAAAATTAAATTATATCTGTCGTTATATATCACAGGGAGAATTTAAATGTAAAAAGTACAACATACAAAACAATGCCATAAAATCGATCGACCAATTATTTTCGATTATACAAAAATTATGAATTGAAATTTATTTAACATAATCCTGAAGTTTTTTTGTAATAACGTTATTTTCATGCATTACTTGATTATTGATTATTAAAAATGCAATTCCTGGATTTTTAATATGATTTTGGAACAAAAAATTATATCACAGTTAAACGAAAATAAATGAATATAAAAATTTATGAGAGAGCTTACTTGTAGAATTCGCAGTAACTCTCTTCGAAATTCCGTACTGCAAATGAGATATATAAGAATATAAATAGCGTAATTGCTGAGTTCCACAATCGCTGAGCACACTCGAAAAGTCTGATAAGAGAGATCGAGCGGATGATGATTGGTATACAACATCGGTGTGAGAACTGATGGAATTATCGTGGCAAAGAAGCATAAAATCATTGTTGTCGTTAGTATCGCCAAATGTTGCTCCTCTCTACAAAGAGAATGATTTTATATATTAGATTAGCAGAAATATTACGATAATTTCATCTTTTCAATTTTAAAATTAAAATTCTTAAAATTGAAAATTTTTCAAATTAAAAATTAAAATTCAAAAAAAGCATTTTTAAGAATTATCACGTACTTATATCCTCGATTGCGAGACAATAACGACATGTCAGGTGCATTATTGGCACGTATCTTGTCCGTGGCAGCGTGAAATTGCCGATCTTGCGCATTTAGCTGCAGAAATCTCTTCATGACTAAACTGTTGAGTACGATAAACAGAATCGACGGGCAAAATCGCACTACAACTTCCATTGTCCAAATATACATTTTCCACATCTTGCCTTGAGTAACAAACATATTTTCACGTAATGTGAAAGAAGGTCTATCCTGCTCCGCATAAACAATTCTCATAATCGATAACGGACTACTTATCTATAAATGAAATAAAAAGTATATATGTATTGTAATGTATTTTATTATATATAAAACTTTTTTCTTAATTTCGCTGTTTTTTATACCACGAAACCGGCGATAAACGAAGAGAGTATGAAGGTGTTGACATTCTTGCGCGTGTTTCCGGTGCGGATGCGTGCCGGGAAGAATACAAAAATGTATCGATCCACGATTAAGCAAACCATAATGAAAACACTGGCTGCCGAAAATGCGTTGAGAATAACGAGCTCGAGATGAGCATGGTAAAAAGCTGACAGATAATTATTACTCATACCATAGCCCAATCTTAGCGCTGAAATATAAAATGTATCATGACATTATAGTTCTGCTTTATTATTTTATATATTGAGAGAAAAACTGTCTTTACTCAAACAAACATCAAATTAATACGTGCATATAATTGTGACATTGCCAATTAAAATTAATTGTCAAGTAATCAAATAATAATCTTAATCATCTTATGTATTGATGGTCATAATTGCTTAATTTATTCAGTCTTAATTTATTTAAATGTTTATTTCGACGTGTGCAATCGCTTATTATTGTTCGTTCGAGCAGTATCTTTCTCAATATGCGTTGCAAAATCAAACTATACAAACTGATCGTTATCCAGGATAATGTAACACCGATGTGAGCCAGAGCGAGTCCGCTGAGGTACAAGTATGCGATTCCGCGAAACACCGGGGCGGACAGCACGATAAGGATTATCACATTTCCGAAAATGCCAATGGTCAATATAATTGGAACTATAATACCGTAAGAAGTCCATATTAAGGACGTTGCACGGCTTCGTATAACGTCGTCTTCGATATGTCCGATAGTAGAATTGTTATCCTCGCAACACAATTGTGTACTGAAAAGACAAATGATTACTTCATTAAAATTTACACATAAAAATCATGAAAAAAGCGATATCTATAGTATTATCATTGAATATGAATTGTCATGTATAGTCGTTTTGAAATTATTTTATTTTATAATAAATTGCTTCTTATTTGTATATCTAACTGATTCTATTTAAAAAAATTGATATAAATGCAACAATAACACACATTTAATATGTCACTAATAAAAAAAAACGAAATAATTAAATTGAATTAATGGGTGAATAAATTTTTTAATAACATCGCAATATAAACGAACCCGTCAATCACTCCTGTCAACATTGTAAATTTTAATGATTATTAATTATACAAATTAATGTCGTCGTTAAAGAATATTATCGATTAAGCAATTCAAAAGTTATTTTTTTCTTCGATGTTTCACGTTCTTATCACATGCACATTGTCGCCTGCTTCTCTTTCCTTAGCCAGCGGCAAATCTACTTTCAATAAAGACATGATAGATTCTAACAGATTTACCTACGACATATTCACCTTATGAGTCTTCAGAAAAATAGACACTGCGCAAACTCCATCGAGGTGTGTATGGGGTTTATTTAAACACAGTGGACGATAGACTTAAACCCTTTATTATATCAGGTCGAACTGCTTGAACAAATAATAGGGATCTATTATTAATTATTATCATGGATAAATATTTTTCATAGAGATACTATATTTATATTATGTAATGAAGCAAAATTAGAATAGAAATTCATCAAAACGTGTTAATATCAAAATATATGAGTATCAAAATGTTTGCGTATATTAAGATAAATAGTAGTAGTGAGTACACATATATAAATTGTGTATATTAAGATAAATGTGAATACACATACACAATATTTCTTAATAATAAAATATATGTTATTGTCATTTTTTAAAAATTTTTATATTAATTATTTAAAAAGTTATCACATTTTTTTTCAATAATTTTATTATTTTTTGATACTCTCTTTTTATTTAAAAAGTATTATGAATTTATAACTACTCTGATTATAATCCTATTACAATTAATAATAATATTATTTATATTTAACCGGTATATACGTATATGGAAATAAGTTAGAACGATAACAAAAATGGACAGAAAAAGAAAGTTTTGAATATGTCTAACAAAGTATCTACTTTCTCTGTTTTATGAAAAAAGTGGCGTAGATTATAGATGTATATATGTATATGTATGTATGTATATATATATATATATATATATATATATATATATATATGATATCCTATACTAAAACATTTAGAGGTGGGGGGATATGATATAAAATCAAAAAATAAATTAATTTATTCTAGTTTGAAATGTCATCGTGCACATAAAGAACTATACAATGGAGCACTTACGGATAGTTCGATTTATATGGTAATTATCTTCCTTCTTTCGATTCATACGTTATTAAATGTTATTAAATGATTATCTTTTCTTATTTTTATTAGGATATCGATAGTTATTTTTATCGCTGTAACAGAAAGTATATCACAAAATTCTTACTGTTCTTGCCGACCTATCGACGAATGTTTAAACGAAATTCAAAATAATTTTAAAAATTCTGAGTATACTGCCATTTTTTCACCTTGTGAATCTTCAGATGGAATTAAATGTTGCACTTTTCTGCATACATCTGCAAATGATTTGTTGTCTTGTGCTTCGCAAAATACTTCGAAGGAGCAAATGAAATGTATATTACATAATGCATTAAAAACGATACATCTAATTAGTCCTCTACAAACGAAACATTTTTTGTTGATGAAAAAATTAGCATCTGAAATTTTGCCATCGTCCGTGAATTCTATGCACTTGGAATATATCGGATCAACAACAAAATTAAAGAGTACAGAGTCTTACAATTCCAAGAAAATCGACGTAGACACATTGCAAACTGTACAATATACGATAGCTGCTATGAAGAATCAGGTACAATCACCTGTTGCAGATGCTATTTATTCCAATGATTTGGAGACAAATTTAATAAACGAATTTCCAGAAAAGATTATACCATCACCTGTCGGATTTATAAAAACTGACGCACATTCTTCGTTTAGTCCTACAGAAAATGAACAAGCTTTAAGAAACAACCGCGATAGAAATCCATCTGCTCCAAAACAAGAAATATATATCGACAAAAATAAAAAATATTCTCCACATGTACAGTTAATTAATGAAGCCACGAATTTTGAAAAAGTCAGAATATATCCACAAAATTGTCAATCGGCTTCGAAGGAGCGATTGACATCAATGACGAACATCGATAGCACGCGAGATCTTGATATTAATAATCGCAAAGTCACGGAAGAATTATTGGAATTCGACAAAAATGCTGTCGAGACAAACGCTCGTTATGAAAAGCAATCGATGGTATCAATGTCGAAGGATGTCCCCACAACGCCTGCGGTTAATTCCTTCGAGCAGAAAACACCGTCAGAGACATTTCTCTCGCTCGATCGCATTTCCACTCAGCCGATCAATAAAAACACACCGACAAACAAGTCCGAGGCACCGAGGAACGACAGCGATATCAACGTATTTACCAGCGTAAAAAGAAGGCCATCGTTTTCCGAAAACGCGCAAAAAAATAAGCAATTCGCGATACGACGCAAAAGAAACTCGCAGCTTCTTCGCGATTCCCGGAATAAGTTGCAAGGAGAGACGATGAGTGGAAATCATCGTGTATTTCCGCTCATTGAAAATAATACAGCGGAGATCACTCCTATGCTAAGAAGGGACGATCCTCTTCAAGCATCGACGCGTAATAAACGAATGACTGCGCCTATCGTGTCGCAAAAAGATATCCTGAACAAAAACACCGAGGAAGCGGAGTATAAAAATAATACCACTCAAAAGAAAAACACGAAGCCGTCGTTGCAAAATAATCAATCTGAGGTAGCAATCAAGGAGGGAAGGAAAGGATCTACAAACGAGAATGCAACGATGAAGGATTCTGTAAACGCGACTCTTCCTTACATGCAAAAATTCAGATTTCCGCTTAAAAAATTGTTGCCCACAAGATCTAAGCTACATAAAAAGGAACATAATTCTATAAGTACCAAATACGCCAATCCGAATCGATTCTCTTCGAGTCACTTTCAACACTTTTATGAAGCAAAAGAAAATCTTCTATCGAAAATTAATAATATAACGGTTGAAAAGACAAAATCGACGCATTTCGAATTTCTATCAGAAGCCTCTCGGGCCTACTTATCTAAGAGAAAAAATGAAAAAATTTTAAAAAAATTCGAGGCGAGAGATTACGCACTAGATATGAAAACGTCTAACGTTAGTGCACTCAATGATTCTATAAGTACGAACAAAAATGACTTGTACGAATATTCAACATCAAATTCGCAGAATGCATCTCTTGCATCGAACAAAACTGCATCTCATTTAAACGTGTCTTCACAGGAAATTGAGAAATCAATGCAGACGAAAGCAGTGTATAATAATTATACCGAATCTTCGACACCTGAAAACAGCTCGAAAGTATCGTCGAAAGAGATCGTGCAAAAAATCACCGACAATTTGAAGCAATTATCCGATATAAATAGAGGTATTGTAACGCATATATTAATATTATTATAACGTTGCTTAAAAACGAATTATTAATGTATTCAACAATTTTTGTTTCAGATAATGCTCCGAAATATTTTAGTACTAAATAGCCCATTGATAATCGAAATGGAACCGAAACGTCTTCCGAATCATCGAGTTTACCTGTAAACGTGGCAGATGAACAAAAGTCAGACGGGTCAGACGCAAGCACATGACAGAAGGACATCGCGAGCAATTTAGATACTGAAAAGATAAAATAATTTATTAAAAATTGATTACTAAAAGTAATCGACTGATTAAATTTCATAATTATTACAATCGAAGAATACAAGAATACAAGATATCGCGTGTCTAGCTCTGATAGTTTATATAAAATAATTAAATATATAAAGATTATATTTAAAAATTTTAAAAATATTTTGAAAAAGAATATATGATATTAGAATATTATATTAAAAATAATATATTATATTATATTAAAAAATCTTATTTCTTACTAAAAGTTTTGAATAAAAGAATATAAAACTCTCTCTACAATGATATTTTCAAATTGATCACATCGTGAACGTCAAATCAGCTGATCGACCTTTTAGTTCGAGTAGGTTCCAGTAGAGGCGCTACGGTACGCTATATGCATTTAGAAGAAATTAGTTGCATGTATACTAAAGTAAAAAAGTAAAAAAAATGTTGCATTCCCACATTTATAATTTTCAAACGGAATATATAATGTATAAAAAATATTTATACATTCTCTTGTATTACCTCAACAAGAAATGATTATTGATTATTTGTAAGTTGCCAATTTAAATATATGCTGTATATTTGTATGTATTTCTTTTTAAAAACAATTAGATTAGCATTTAGATTAATGATTATATTTAGATACTATAAGAACTTTTGTACTTGTCTTATTTCGATGTTCCAAACTGCTTCTAAACTGCTGATTTTAACTTATAAACAAAAATTAAAAAGAGGACATATACTAAAGATATCACTTTATCTCAATTTAATTATGAAGATGCATACATATATTTTTACTTTTGAATAAAGAATACAATTAAGATTACATAACATTTTTTATTGCAGAGCTGATAATTGGAGAGAAACAATTGGCATAAAATAATATGCAAGTATAGCCGATAAAATGTGCTATTACATGCTTCAGTGCTGTTTCCTCCGCCTCTATTTACAAAGATGTCATCGTGTTATATCAAGAGTTAAGTTAGGATATGTTCTTTTCTTTTTTGGTATGATAACACTGTTAGAATTTTTTGGAGTATTCATACATCTATTTGAAGTCACATATGATGAAAACTTTGTATATCCATATGAAGGCAACATACATGAGTTTGTCGATGCATTGCGACGTAATGAAAAACCTGAAGTTGAGCCTATAAATGAATATAAATATACGTTTTTGCTAAATCAACCACAAAAGTGTAAAGAAGATGCGGATCATACACTTCGTCTTGTATATATAATAAAGTCTGCTATAGAAAACTTTGAGAGAAGAACCGCTATACGTAATTCATGGGGAATAGAAAAAAGATTCTTTGATGTGCCAGCAAAAACTATTTTTGTTGTAGGTATACATCCAGATGATAAAGAAATAGAAGCTAAATTAAAGTTAGAAGCGACAATCTATAAAGATATTATACAAGCAGATTTTATAGATTCATACTATAATAATACTATAAAAACAATGATGAGTTTTAAATGGTTAGTAAAATATTGTCCTAATTCAAAATTCTACATGTTTGTTGATGATGATATGTATGTATCAGTGAAAAATGTAGCAACATTTATCAGGAACCCATCTAATTATCCATTTTATTTAATGGAATCCAGGAAAGTATATAATGCACACAAAAGAGAAATCAAACAATCAGATCTAGTAGATTATAAGGCTGTCAATAATTTCAATAATGAAAATGCAACATTTAATTTAAAAATCAATAAAATGCCTTTTAAAAGTTTTACAACTCATGAGTTCATAAATAATAATAGTCAGAAAAATAATGTATATAGCAAACAAGACGAAGAAATTAATGAAAATTTTAGACAATTGTTTAAACTAAATACAACTATGTTGAATAGAACAAAACGACAGATTTTCGATTTTGAACTGCCAGATGATATTAGGCTATTTGCAGGATTTGTATTTATGCGATCTGCACCACATAGACATAAATTTTCTAAATGGTATGTTTCATTGAAAGAATATCCATACCATTTATGGCCACCATATGTTACAGCTGGTGCATATATTCTCTCTAAGGAAGCTCTTTTAGACTTATATTACACCAGTTTTTACACTAAACATTTTAGATTTGATGATATCTTTTTAGGTTTAGTAGCTAAAAAGGCCGATATATTACCATTTCATTGTGAAGAATTTCATTTTTATAAAAAAGCTTATACAAAATATAGTTACAAATATGTCATAACATCTCATGGATATGAAGATCCAAATGAACTTCTACAAGTATGGAATGAGCAGAAAGCTCTTGGAAATGCTTGAGAGTATAAATATATCAAAACAAAAAATTTCGTAATATATTCTATCATATAAGTATGATCTTAATCTAAAAAAACTATGTTGTCTAATAATAATTCTTTTTTTCAAAAATATTCTAATATAATTACACACATATACATATATATATATACATATATATGTCACATATGATGGAATACATAAGATATTAATTGTATGAAAATATCCAGTTTATTGTAAAAAATATTTTATAATTTTTCATTTTTAGAATAGATTTTATGCTATATATATAATCAGTCTTTATATACATATCTAATATATCCTGTAATAAAAAATTAAAATTATATATTACAAATTATGCAATGCATTTAAATTTAAAAAATACTGCCAAAATGTAATACTTATAATGGGCTTTTTCCAGCTAGCGACACAGAGGACACAGCAAATCACTTCATCCTTGTTGGTTGCCAAATGTAAAGGACGAAATGATTCACTGTGTTACACTGTGTCCTCTGTGTCGCTAGCTGGAAAACGCCCAATCACAGTTATATTATGATAAATTATGTATCAATTATATATTCGTTGCACGCAATTTTTGTTTATAACTTATATGATTATAAATTTTATTCAACTCTAGACTGATCTTTTTTAGTATTACTCTTGTATAAAATTGTCAAATAATATATGTATATTTATTTGTATAATTAATAAATTTTACATAAATTTAAAAAATTATAGTCTTTGAAAAATTTGTATATTTATACTTTTGTACTTTTTAATTAGTAACTAATTTTTTTTTAAATGACTGATAATACATTTTCTAGATATATATGTAGTTTCACAAGTTTTTTGTAAAATTTTAATTTTGTTTATAACCGTTATTTTTCAATTTTAGCTTTAACTAAAGTCTGATCCAGGCTTACAGCTTCTTTTTTGATCATATTAAGCAATAACTGTGAACTCTCCAAAATCTGTGATAAAGCAAAAATTTATTTAAGAAGTATAAAATATATAATTGTAAATATACATGTATTAATTATATAAATGTAAAAGAGATATTTATTAATTTTTAGCAAAAATCAAATGTACCTTTACCTTCATGTATGCTGTCTCAGTGTCAGCAATTGTTCTGTCATATTCATTTCTGACAGCGATTCTTTTTGCTAGACTATCATTTAAATGTGTAAGCTTACACGACATTTTCTCGATTTCACGTTGCAAATTATTCTTCTCTTCTTCCTGAGATACTATTTGAGCTTGGAGTTCTGCTCGCCTTAATTTCATCTCTTCTAAACCTGTAAAAAATTTTGATATAGATATATAGAAACTTGACGGAATTAATCATTGAAACAATGAAATTGATCATTCTTAGAGAAATTAAATTAGAGCAAAATAAAATCTGAGATTTTTCGTACGACTGATAATTTTTGAATAGTGAACAATAATTTTTCAACGGGATGAAAAAATTACATTTAACGAGTTCCTGGTTATATGTTTGCAGAGCAGCTCCGTGTTGAGACATCATAAACCCTCCATTCGTAGAAAACTTTTGATAAAAATACAATGAAAGCTCAATATAATGATCAAAAGTAGACAATGTTTACCAACAATTAGTTGTCAAATATTTAGATGAACACAGATTTTGACAGTTCTCAACCGAGTGTAAAAAAGTGCAAACGAAACAAACCTCGATAATTTTTACGTAAATTAAAAGTTCGTCGTGTGATTTGTACTTTTTACACTCAATTTTTCGTTTTCTCTTTTTCTGATGTCCGAATATACATTCGCCGTCTTATCTTAAGTGCAAACATTTCTAGAGATTCCAAGCAACACGAATATACCTCACGCATGCGCAATAGTAAGATAGGATCGGTGAGATTATTTCGACAACCGTAGATCATCGTAAATATGTGGTGTCAAACTAACCATGCTGAGACGTTTTAACCATCGTAAGAATTAAGACATAAATCGAAAAATGGTCTCGATTATCAAAAATCAGTTGCTGAAACATTTGTCAAGGTATTATTAGCGTATAATTAATTAACCTACAATGCAACTTCGCAATTTTAAATGACATTGAAAATTACTCACGAGTCTTTCCACAAGTCATACGTCATAAAAGCACTTTCTTATCTTCGAAACCTTCATCTTATCATTATTCATATTATATTTTTTCTCTATACATTCTGTATAATTATAATATTGAATACATTCGCAAAACAGCTGGAAATATTTGGGGAGAAAGTACCCTTTTTATGATTTCTTTTTATAAATGCACTCTTGTCATATGCCATTGACATATTTATTCTTTGCTTTTGCTTAGTGGAAATTCCTTTGTATTAGTTGAAACAGCCCACACAATAGTTATATAATATATTCTGTGCATAAAAATTCATATATTTATATACATATATATATATATATATAATATTAATTAATATATATTAATTTATATATATATATATATATATATATATATTAATTAATATATATATTAATTAATATTAATATATATATATATATATATATATATATATATTATCCAATGTTAATGCTCAGTTTGCTTCATTGCATTTTTGTAATTAATAACTGATTAATAAATGATTATATTTTGCATATGGAGCATTTATTATATAATAAACATCTGTAGGTTCACCAAAAATTTATCTGCTGATAAAATAAACTTGAGCACATTCAAGGGTGAAGGAGAATTGACAAACTTAGAACTCGATGAAATAGTCCTCACAGATTTATTAGAGCTGCCATCATGGTTAAGACTAACTAATGCTTGGTGCAATAAAGTTTCATTTCGTATTCAATGGACCAAACTAAAAAGCGTTCCTATCTTTTTGGTAAACAATAGTTCTATGCATATAAAAATATATACAATTTTTACATATTATCTTCATTGATTATCATGCTGCAAACCATGCAAATAAAATATTATATTTATAGAGTTTGGATGAAGTTCATATAGATGTAGAAACATGCGAGGATTTGAGAAGTATGTTTTCTCCGCAAGGTACATCATCATATACAGGTCCTACAAAATATTCTTTTATCCATAAAGTAATTGATGGAATAACAGTAGCTGTTAATACTGTACTGGTTACATTTAAAAGTCCTGCATTTATTGCTTCAGTCCAGGTGTGATATTACGTATAACAAATAAATAAATGCATGAATAGTAAATTAAACATCAAACACAGATTTTGACATTGAGATTGACATTTATTTAGAACTACTGTATTGTTTAGATGAATCGGATTATGGTAGAATCAAAATCAGCAACATGGCAACGTTGTGATCTCAGAACCACTAGAGTAAAGGATCCAGATCGAGGGCAATTACTTATCTTTAAGGAGTTAGAATGGCAAACTGTTAGAATAGAAGCCCAAAGTACTAAAGATAAAAATTTGACACCACTTCGTTTACTGACAAACCAAGCAAGATGTCGGATAACAATAAAAAAGAGAATATCAGGTTAGAGAATATCTATTAAACTTATGCATTAGTACTTACCAATTTTGATAAATATTATAAATTTATATTATTGCTAAATATTAATTATTGTCTTATTACAGATTGTTTTGTTATGGGGTCCAGATTAGTAATTATTCTAGATGACCTTTTGTGGGTGCTAACAGACTCACAATTGAAAGCTGCACTCCTTTTTCTTGATTCTTTGGGTGGTCTTATTGAAAAAGCCACCATTCTTGAACGAAAAACAAAAGCTGCAAGAAAATTAGAGGTTTGCACACTTTTATTTAAATTTTAATATATAAATCAATGGTTCTTTCATTTGTATCATTCTTAATTTAAGGTTTTACCAGAATATCAGGCTCAAATATCTCAACAAAGCAGAACAAAGTCTCAATGCAATTCAGCAATATCAAAAATATTTACAAGATATGATGTTGTAGAAACATCATATCACTTTCTTTCACAGCGCATTGATCTTCACTTATGTGATGATGCTGGTGGTAAGTTTAAAAGAGACTTATACTTGTTTTTATGTCTTTGGCTATCTATTAAATGTATTATTTGTTTATTTTTTAAGTATTTATTATATGTAACATGTGATTTTTACATTATATATTTATTTTTTTAAATAGGAGGTAGATCATTACATCCTGATCTGAAGGATGGTGGTGCATTACAAATTTCATTAGTGAAATTTCAAATTGATTATTACCCATATCATCTGGCAATGGCAGATAGAAAGCATTGGGCCAAATATAAAGAGAATGCCACACCTCATAGTCAGTGGTTGCAACAATCATTGAGTTCATTTCGAAGTCAGTTTATGGATCTCATAGATTCTGGTAGAACACAGCATTCTCCTTTAACAAGAAGCCAAGGAAATGTAACAGGTTTGTACATATGAATGCAATGATAATATCTAATATGAAATGTAATTAATATTAAAATTCACTTTTCTACAGCTAGTGGTATGAAAGGCTCTGGGGAACATTTGGAAAAAAATAATCAGTCTCAAAATCCAAATGTTACATCATCTGAACAGAAAAAGTCTCAGCATCCTAGTGGTAATCCAGTGAAAAATTATGTCTTGGAACAACTTGCTAAACTGATGACAACGTGCATTATTATCAGGATCGACGATTTTACATTATACAAAGTGACAACAACATCGCGTAATCCAATACCGAAAGAATTTATCACAGGTACATTATATCCATTTATTATTTATTTATTAAAATTGCTCTTTTTCTCTTTGTTAAAAATAGTAAAGTTTCTCAAATATCAAATTTGTCAATAATTATTTTATTTATGACAATTGTATACAGCTCAAGCGAGGAAGAAGCATACACCAGGTATAACAGATTAGTAATTTGTGTAAATGTAATGTGTATGAAGTTTCTAGAGCTAAACTTAATCTATTTTGGTATATAGTTTTATCATATTCAATTATTTATTTTTTTACATTATATGTATTTTTACATTATATGTATTTGTACATTATATGTATTTTTACATTATATGTATTTTATATTAAATGATTTAAAAATAATTTATAACTTGTTATATAATGTGTGTTGTAGAATGATATTAATGAGATTAATGAAGTTAAATGAAGAAAACATTAATTAAAAAAATATACATTAATATTATATTTGTAATTTACATATTATTTGCACATTAATATTACATTTGTAATTACAGATTTTCTTCTTATTACAGAAAATGTGCTATATATTTTTTTATAAATATTGAAATTTTTATAAATTTATGATTGGCTGTTTTTAATGCTTTAATTAAATTATATTACAATAAAAGAGATTATTATGCATGAAAAGCAAATCTATAAATATGTAGATTGAAATTTTGCTGTAATTATTACATTTCTAATTACATTTATTTAAATTAAATGTTTATTTAGGCGATCGTGACCGATTCAGTCTTCCAGAAGATGTAACAATACTTCATGCTGAGTTTACTTATTATTATTATCCAGGGGATATTACTTTTCCATGTAAGAAAATTTTTTTAACAAAAGTATTTTTACAAAAGCATTTTTCTTTTTCTTTAATAACTTAATTATAAAATAATGTATAATTTTTTTCATTTTAGTGCCACCACCCAAGTTTTATGTACAGCTTAATCCTATTCAAATAAACTTTGATGTCTGTTCGTGCCTTTGGTTTAACTCTTTTGCATTGAATCTTCATTATTCTCTTATGGGAAAAAAGCAACTGAGTTCTGCACGTTTAACATATTTTGATGTAAAGATAGAAGCTATACTTCCAAGAGTAAGTTAGGATATACTCAATATATATCATAAATATTATACACATTATTATTTTAATAATACTTATAAAAAATCTGTACTTTTAGATAGTTTTTGAAAGTCAGCAAGAATACCCAAATCAAAAGGACAGACCGAAGTCTTTGCATCTTCAAACTTCCAGGGCATCTATAACGAATGTACGATCTACGGAAAGATCTTCGAGATCAGATTTGGCGCAGTGTCTGAATGCATTTCAGATGGGACAGATGTTCTTTGGCGCAGAATTTCCCAGTAAATCAGAAGATTTCCACGTAGTGACGGATAAATTTTTAGCGCATTGCGGAGGTATGACGTTTACGATTTTGTAAATATGATTATAAATATTTAGATCTCTTTCTCTTTCATTAATCTCTTTTTTTGTTTCGTATTCTTTCAGGCGCTGATAATATCAGACAAATACCGCCCAATTTCAGTAGCAATTCTGTAAATGAGCTGCTGCGTCAGATGAATAGAGAACTCTTGTGGACCGAGGCAAAGGATGTGTGGTGTTGCAATTTCGAGCCTGTATGGGGAGATTTTTTTGGCGCACGGGCTGTCGGTCAAAATCGACCCGTGCCATTTCTAGACGCATTTCCTTTGACATTGTGGTGTCATTTTACCGCGAGTTCACCGTCAACTAAGGAAAAGCCCTTGGGTGCCGATATTCACGGATTAGCGTACATAAGCAATCTAGTTAGCGTACAAATAAATCATTATCAATACTTATTCTTACTCAGATTGTCGGAGATAGTTTCCGAAATGGCTACGTATCTGGCCGTAGACTCGAATAAGATTTTGAAGGTTGAAAGTGGTGGATCGTTAATCGTAGGCGCGTTGATACCACAAGTGGAGGTGACATTCGTGATGCCATCGCATACACCCGGTAAGGAGAACTCCGGCGGTGATTTAGAATCCGTTGTGTGTCCTGATTCATCCAGCATAGCGGACGATCTCATCGGTTCGTCCACAGCTTGGCACACCGGTACTGTGAGTGCGCGTGTCGATTTTGGTGCCAAAAGAACGAACACGAGTAACGATGTAGAGACGCCTCAAAGTGAAGCGTCGTCGATGTTGTCAATGGATTATTCACATTCTGTTACTACATCGCAACCAGTCGTCACTTTCAAGCAGAACGGCACGAAGAAAGATCCAGAAGGTCCAGCTAATCCTGCGATGTGGTGCATTCCCGAGAGTTGCGGATCACAATTTACGGTTGTCGGTACGAGTGACGAAAAGAAACATACGACTGAAGCTACACATAATAAACACAGCAAGTCAGATTCGATCTCAAACACGCCCTTTATTCCAAATAATTTCAATGTCAATCTCTCGTCTATGAAAAAGGGATTCAGTAACTTAATGACATCAATTGATTCGGCTTTGAAAGCTTCTCCAGAAGATGGTAGTAGCGATACGATGTCCATGAGAAGCGACGTTAGCTCGGATAGTGAGAATTACGTTTTGGTGAATCTTCAGGATCAAGGAAAGATCGACGCGGTATTTGGTATCGATAATACGATTAGGATTACGGCGGTAGAAGAAGCAACCGAAGTGATAGAAGAAACGCCAGACACGCAAAGCGAAAAATCTATGGATAGTGTATGCAAAAGGAAAGATATAGTAAGTATATTATAAACAATTGTTCGTGCACAAATTACTTTATGATTATTAAAAATGATGTAAATAAAATCTTTTTTTTTCTTTGTTCATAGGTTTCCATGGTAACATTCAAGCTATCAAAAGTTGAATTTATACAACAATCTTGCGGCTATTCATCTGTCATTAAAATTCAAGTTTCTAACATTGACAATGATGAGTGTTCATCTATTCCTTGGGATGAGTTTCAGGTAAGTTAAATTTATAAGTTAATTAAGACAATATAAAAATATATATATATATATATACATATATATACGTATGCTGTTATTATACAATTATGCTCTTTTTAAACAAACAAAATTTATTATTAATTGTATTGCTGCAAAAAAAGTTTATTCTCTTTTTTCTTTTACTGTGGAATTTTTGTTATTTTTACACGATATAACAATATTATTATGCTAAATATTAGAAAATAAAGTTTATTCAATAACTTTTATATATATGAATTTAAAATATATTTCACAAATTAAAATTATATATATATTCACACATTAAATCTTACATTTGGAACAACTAAATGGTATTTTTCAATACTAATACAACTACTCTTCTACATAATTATATGATTAAAAATTATGAAAAAGATGAATTGAAACTATATGTAACTTTGGAATTATAAATTATAACATATATCTTTCCATTTAGAGTATACATTCGAAATAGCAACTTGTGCATAAGAGTTACTAATACTCAAGTAGTTTTGCAGTAATTTGCTCATTGTTTTTATATTACAACCAGTTAATATTATTATTATAAATGTATATTTATACGATTCTTGTCTCTTAACTTTTTTTGCATGCCTCTCCCGCGTCTCTCCTTCTCTTGTGAATGTTTTTATGTGGCACTTGTGGCAGGTCAAGAGAAAGGTATTGGCAAAACCATTCATACATTTATTAATCTTAAACACCATTAAAAAAGCATGCATCGATATTGAGCTACATCACACACACATATACATTGTTAATGTTATTGTCAATAGATTTCTTATAAAATTAACATGAATCTTTAAAAATGTTGTAATAAATTAAAGCAGTAATTGTTAAATAATTGTATAATTAAATATTTATCATATATTATTATTAACGCAAATTTTTTTATATAAAAAAAGTTAACCATACAGATGTACATTTATGGTAGTAATTGATGATATGTTTAAATGTACGATTATATATGATAATCACATGATAATTGTACTTTTGCAACATTGCTTTGGGACAATTGCATTTCTGCTTTTGTTTTCCTATATTTATTTAACAAAGTAATTTTAAGATTAATTTATCAAAAGATGTATTATTTTTATAGTTAAATTAGAGAGATAGCATTTTAAGTGTTATTTTTGCTCTTAATTCTGTTATAATTTCCAGACAAAATACGATACTGATATAAATCCAATTTTGAAATTGTTAATTAATTAGATTGTAGTGGCAATTTGCGGCATGTGATATTGATTCTTGACTTTTAGAAACTAGTGAGATTGCATTCTAATATTTACAATAAGCAAATATATAGCTTGGCTATGGAAACTTGCCAATACATACATAATTTCTCATTTGCTTCATATATTACTACAAATGGGGCTATATTAAAATAATGTTTCATATATTAGACACTATATAGCATTGCTTTCATGCATCTACTTTTGCATCTGAATGATATTTTTTGCTTATATGCTAAATCTTTATTCATGAAGTTTGCTTTAGCATACTCGTAATTTCTTATAATTATCTCACATTTAATCTCACATTTTATACAATATGTGTCTATTATATTAACTAAGAAATTTAATATATAATTATATTTTTAATTATATACTGTTAAATTAAAATCGAATTGTGATCTACAATTTATAATTAATATTCGTAAAGATATTCATATTCATTCATAAAGAGATTCAGTTAGTATACAAATCATATTTTAGTCTAATTTCGCAATATAAGAATACAAGTCGAATAATAATGTAAGATCAGTATATAGAAATATAAAGATATTTTATTATCTGTATGTTACATAATTTCAAGATTCATCTAAATTTAATATTTATGCCATTCTGTTTGATAGACCAAGTTCAGCTCGCGATCTCGAGGCTGGGTGGAATTACCGTCCGATTCAGATTGCAGATCGCGCATTAAATTACGTTTGGATCATAATTTAAAAGATGCGGACGATTCTCACAGACTTTGGGATGCCAGCAAGAAAATTACCAATGGTAGTGATGGTAGGCCAGCGCCTCAAAATCGCGTTAAATTACCTGAACAGGACACACCCCGTACATCTGGCATCGATGTGCACGATAAAGAAAACGTTATGAATTTATTCGAGGACAAACTAGACATGAAAGTCGCTAATGTAGCGATGGCGTTATCAATGAGCTCAGTGACGGGTTTAGCGGATTTGGCAGAAGACGAAATCATACCTAAACCGATTCCCATGCAGGTAGATATTGTATGCAATATATTGTCGTGTATGTAATATGTTGATGTGATCTTCTCTTTTAAAATATACAGGATGTAATTGTAATAAAAAGAAAAAAACTTTAATGGTGAGCTCTTCACACCGAAATATAAAAAAATATATCAACATATGTCAATAAATCCATTGTTACTGATAGTGTGGAGAGTTCACTCCCCACCCTCTAAAGTTTTTTTCTTTATTTTAGTTTCATGTTGCATAATTTTGATTTATTTGCATAAGCGCGCATTTTTATTATTTCAGATATATTTGGAAAATATATCGTTACGTTTGAATGAAGATCGTCCTCCCAATAACATAACTTCCCCGGGTCCGATTCCGATAGATTTGAATATTTCCAAACTTAGAATAGCGCGAGACATGAGCGGTGTGTTTCACATCGAACCAGTTGGTAAGTAACACTATCGTTTAAGCTAGTATCTCTCCATTTGTTTCTGCCACTTGCCAGTTAACTTTTTTAAGTTGATTTTTTTCCTTTGCGATTCTCATGTGATCTTAATCTTAGCTGTATCGTTCTTATGCGCCTGTAAATACGTATACTTGTAATTTAATATTATATGTAGATTTTACATTGTGCAAGTGGCAGACTTATGTTTGAAAGTAATTAATATTACATATTGCATATAAATTGTTCTGTGCACCCAGGCGGCCTTTCTAATGTGAGCATTGATATAACACATGTAGACAAGTAGCTTTAGTTTTTTGCTGCTTATTATTGCACAAGCTTAAAGTGATATATTATTTGACATATGCATAATCTAGGTATTAGGTTCTTATAAATTCTATCTTTTTACAAAAAGTTTAGACTTTATAAAATGCTGATGCCTCTAAAGATTTGGCGTTTTATAAAAAGTTTTTGTGAAAAGTATTTTATGGAAAATCTGCAGTATATACATGTAGATAATAGAATATTTTAGATATGCGTTTAAAAAGCATGAATCATAATCTTATTAATTTATTAATAAAAAAGAAAAATTCATAAAAAGAAAAATTTATAAGCTTAATAACATTAATTATATTTATTCTCTTGTTCAACTCTTTATTATTGATTATTCTATATTTTATTTAATAGACTTGTATAAAGGTATGCCTGAAAACTCTTGAGAATTAATAGCATAGGAAATATTTTTTTAAATTAATTTTTTTAACTATTTTCTTTGAGACTATAAATTTGTTAACCCATCAGATTGCATTTTGACTGTCTTATATAAATAATATTATATAGATAAAATATATATATATATTCTTTAATTATAAAGAATTAAAGGCAATAGTTACTTTTTTTTTATTTTTAACCTTACGAATATTTGTTATAATTATATAATCATAAATACTATTAATTATTACATATAATTTTAAAATTATCTATTGTCATAAATATTCATATGTTAGTTAACTTTATAGTATGTGTAAATTATATAATATACAAATTATCTTCGAATTTTAACTAGTTTATTTTTATTATAAAAATTTTCTAAATATATATTTGATATGAATGTGACATATATGTTAGTATGCCCATCTCTATTATTATATCTACTAAAAGAAGCTAAATACTGTCGTATCTGTATGTTGCTGTTTAAGATTATTTGATACAATTTTATCCAGTCGATCAAATAATAATTTTCTTGTGATTCTAGTAACTACAATGGAGGAGAACCGTTCAAATATGATGTTATCGAGTGATAATAGTCACCCCCTTAAGAATGTAGAATGCGAGAAAGAATTGAATGTTTTGAGACAATCTAGTAGACAATTGAAATTGGATAATGAGGAATTGAGACGTCGTATGGGAGCTATGGAAAGATTATCGGAAGAAAACGCGAGATTAATGCGCGCGAAAGAGGAATCGGATATAATGAGATCTCGTTTGAGCATTGCAGAAGACAATATCGCGAGTCTTCTGGAAGAGAAGAGAATCTTACACGAAACTATAACTGAGCTGCGTAATCAAAGACTAGAAGGTTCTGGAGGTAGTAATAGAGCTTCGTGGTCTATTAAGAGATAGCATACCAGTTGTTTTGATTGCTCCAAATGTTGCAGCTCTACCAAGTCTTAATTACTTGCACTTTCAATATTCTGCAAGACATTTCTGTTGATGAAGTTAGAATAATCTTATGTAAAATAAAAGACTTTCCATTTCCTTATAAATAAAAAGATTTATATTTATGCGGTTTCAATTTTAAATGTAGATTAACAAGAATTAGAATGATTTTAATTTTTCTGAAAACGCTATAAAATCTATAATTGTTTTCAGAGATACATTATTCTTGTCTGCCGTAATTACGCTAGTAACTGCCGTTTAGCTCTTTTGCTTAAACTTTAAAACACAATGATAAGAATCGTATAGTAAATGCGTAATGTGACGCATATACGAATGAAAAATATCAATTTTTTTATCGTAATTCTAACAAGGCGATAATAAACTGTAATATTAGTATTTTTGTTTCATTATTAAATTAGTAATTCATGATACGAATTTTTGATAAATCGCCTGGTGTCCATTTATAGATTTAAAATTGCATATGACTGCATATATACATGATATTATACATATAAATTTATCTATTATCTAAATTAAATTCTATTTATGTATATGTGATTATATGTGATATACATATTCTTTTGAAAGTAATGATAAGATGTAACAAAAATAAAAATAAACAAAAATGATTTGTTTAAATTCAGATTGAAACTAAATTAATAAAGAAATCTGCTAGATATCTCTTTATGTTTTCGATAGAATAATTGAAGCTGATTTGCAAGTTATTTATTATAATATATATTTATTTGTATATATATTTTTTTGCACTATATATATTTATATTTGTGCACTATAATATATTAAAATTTCAAAAGAATGTGTACATATTACATATAATGAGAAAGCAAAGTGCGTTTATGTGGATATGCCATCGGTATATCGCAATTATATATACATTAATTAATTTTATGATTAGTCATATTTTAAAATAATTTTTATGGATGTAAATGGAGACTGTAAGAATGTATATCGTAAAATGCAATGATTTAAAACAGATGATTGTAATTTAGTAATATATACTAGTTGAGCCTAAGGATAGATTTTAAATAAGAATTGTGACCTGGTGGTATTGCATTATATCATATACATAATTTTGTATTGACTGATTTAACAACTTTCATCAAACGATGAAGATTACAAGTAATAATGATAAAAGTGATGTATGAAGCGTTCCAATAAGACTGTGTAAAATTCGGAAAAGTTGGTCTATAGTCTATAATAGTCGCATTAGAGTCCTTGAAGTAATTTGTATAAACATTAGCAACAGCGAATTGATTTGATAAATTTTTAATGAGAAGGAATTGTGTGCAAAATACGACGAATTATAAAATATACTTAACATATTTTTAGTTCACAATTGAGTTATTTGATAATTTTCACAGAGTTTGATTTTGGTAGATTTAGTTTCTATGATGGATTGCTGGTCAATCTTACATAAATGGAAAGTATTTTTTTGATGAATACAAAGACTAGATACAATTGAATTTTGTTTCATAATGTAAACTTTTGTGCTCTTACTATAAACATCTGTATTATAGATATGGATTTTCATTATTTAGGTGCAACTTTGAACAATGCGTTTTCTTGACATATTTTTCAATGAATACAACTTAATAAAAATCGTAACCATCTGAGATAATTTGTGTTTATATAATAATATTATTATTTGAAATACAAATAAATCATCTAATATATGACTAGTAAACGCAATGTTTGAAGATAGTATGACATATGTAAACTTTAGAAAATGAGAAAAGATGAGAGTTGCTGTTTTTGTTACTTTCAAATACAGATAAGCTTTTTATAATGCACATATCATACTTATAGTAAAGAATTTGCTTATATAACACAGTTATATAGTCCGAAAATATTTTGCAGGAACATCATTTTTATTGCAATTTAATTGTATACATTCTTTAGATGTATACATTTCTTTCATTTTTCAAGTCTGATTTAAATCAACTTCCTAAAGGTTTATTTATATAATTGTTTTCCTGGAAAGCTAATATTTGTATCAAATGCTTTTGTATATTAGAGAATTAAACTAAAATTATCTTATTTTAATCTTTATAGATTCAGTTTTTAGTATCTATATATTTATAATATAATAGTAGTATTTTATTATATTTTATATATATTATATATTTTTAAATATAAGTATAAGAAATTGCTTTCCTCTTCCATTTTCTTTATATCCATTTATAAGGACTTTAATAATAAATATCAAATATACATATACATATATATATAGCCAATAATGAGAAGATTTGCATATAATCTTATTATTCAATTAGCAGAAATCGTGCTATCAAGTAAATTTGATTAGTATGAATCTGATTTTTTCCTTTTTTATATACTTTGAAGTACTTATTACACATTATATCTTATGTGTTTTATTATATTGGTAATACAAACTTTAGGAAGTTGAATGTGAACTAATAATGCAATGGAAATAATAATATCACAACTCGATAGAATGCGTTACAGTTTGTTATCATTTAGACTTTATAAGATATACATTTAAGTTTTACATGATTGTTTTATTTCGAAAAAAAATGATATTCTTATATTAATTTTTAATTTTTTGCTGTTAACGCGTTAACTTTATTATAATTATATAAGTATAGTATAAGTTTGTATTGATAATTTTCGAATTTATAGCATTGTCGATAGACATGAGATTTTTTGAGGCATGTTTAGTTCTATAATACATATACATATAACTTTATAGTTACTCTAGTTAGTAAGATTTTAAAAAAATTGTTGCATATAAAAAAAAAAATATATATATATATATATAAAAGAGAACAATATCATGCCACTTATGCATGAGTGCAAATGGTTCCATTTCGTAAATTCATATCGTATGTCAGCAGCCGTCTGATACAATGAAATAATACGATGCAGCCATAATTTACGAAATGAACCTATTTTATATATTAGCAAAAGTATAGTAATTATATTTGAAAAAATCGTCATTTCAATATCAAAGTGCTAAGAATACCAAGAGTGGGTTGTGCAATTTCCAAACTTTCTCACGGAGTGTATAGAGAGAAAATTGATATGTATGTTTGCCATATTTGCTATTTCTCCATAGCTTTTGTTGTGAAATATATTATGATTATTAAATAATTTAATATATAAATAATGTAAGTAATTTTGGGGGATATATTATTTTATTCAATATTGTGTGTTTTATCTATGAATTATTATATAACTTTTTATTTCAAATGTAGATTGAATAAGGTATTTTATTATAAATATATCGTTTGAAAACAAATGTATTTTAGCAATATTAAAATGCTATTATAATCAGCATTGATGACATCACAATGTGGACAAATGAGTTATATATATAGTACGAAAACTTGGCAATATATACATGTATATCCATTTTCAAGTTTGCCGTTATATATTATATATAGAAATATGTTTACTGTACTATTATTATGAATTTATTGATAAATTATACAAATATGAGCAAAAATTTAATCATATTTGGTTTTGTGTGGAATTTTGAAAATAATGGCCAAAATGTAATTTCATCTTTTTAATGTATAAAGAAAATGAATATCACTTTCTCAATAAAGTTATTATAAAGAAGAGATATAAGAATGTTTTAGCGTGATGCTAACAAGTAAAATGTTTCTCTAAATCTCTAATACCTTCTCTTATACTTTGTATATTAATATATTATATAATTAATCATATTTATTTCTTATTTTCTTAAAAATACATTTAAAATGTATGCATGTGGATATGTGTATCATTATATATATTATTACATGTAATATGTAACTATTTAATATTTAATTTAAAATAATTTCTACTGAAAAATAAATGAGAAATGCAGAAAGTTGAAGAGATAACGCGACGTCGCCGGTCGTCGAACTTTGAATAAGGCGCCATAACAGAGTCAGCAACATAACGTGCAGAAACAATAGTGCAGCAGACTGCAGATGCGATGCATTTCACGTTCGAAATGTCCGAATTGACCAATCGGAACAAGAGATTCCTCGACTCTGATTGGTCGATCGAACGATCGAGAGCATTCTTGTCGAGCGAAGTGTGCATCGTGTGCAGCCAGCAGTTGGCAGTGGCGTCCATGAACGGGAATCGTGCGAGCGACAGCACGGACGGCACGTTGAGTCGAGAGGATAATCGACACACACTCACTGACGGGGTCGAAATCGACTGAGCGAATCTCTGTTTGAGTGGATTTTGTGTTGTGCTGAAAAAAAGGTATCACCGTGGGACTCGCGGCTTCAAGGGTACGTATACACACAACGAGACGATGTACACGAAAGAGGGAAAAAAAAAGAAAACGCGAGAGCGCGGGTCATGCCCGACGACTCTCAAATATTGTGTTATTGCCCGTCGATTGGGAACGAGGACCTTCGTTAGTTTGTCTGGTACCTCGCGTACGTACTTGACTGTTGCCGATAGCGATAGTTGACCGATCAACGAGATCTATATCCAATCGCGCAATCATGTTCCGCACGAAATGGTAACGTTTCTCTTCTCATCATTTGGCTTTACGATCGTCCGTAGATTCAAGAATCGCATTTGAGAAATATGCTTGACGTTTCGCTCCGCAATCGACGTATCTTTGAAAGAATTAATCTCTGTTTTCAGCAAGGAGCACGATCACTCGTCCTTTTACAAGTTCTTACAAATGGAGCACAACCATAAGAATCTGGACTGTTACTTCTTCTACTATTCTACGTGCAAAAAGGTAAGCGAATTCTTTCTCGCCGAGATAATCCTTTCTCGAGCCGAACTGCGTCCCCCTCATTTTGCCACCGCCAACGTTAACTAGGAAAAAAATTTCATATCGTTCCATATTGCTCGTGATCTATCGAGCTCGCCGAGGTTAGGTCGGCCATTTTGATGCCATGTTGATAAGATTTTTTTCTCAATATCGTAAAAATTCAAATATGTAAATCCTGTAAGATTTAATCACTTATTATAGAAACTTGGCTAAATTCTAGGGGGACAGTGATTTCTCCATTTATTTACACACGATATAGAGAATTTTTTTTATCGTCCTCGTGTGGTTTCATTTATCTTGTAAATATTTTGTCAATCATAGGTATGATTTTTATAAAACATAATATGTGTGATATAAAAATATTGCGCGTGTATGCTTATTTTATCATCCTTTTATTTTATTTTAACATCTATATATATGTATTATTTTTTACTCCGATTTATATGTAACTTAATGTGTGCGATTGAATCATAATTAACAATATCTTATCCATGTATTTTTAGGCGCATGAATAAATTATTATAAATAAGTAATAAATAAATGTGATTATATATTTATGATATCTTAAATATTTTTAATATATGCTATCCTTTGATTAATCTCACTTGCAGTATTGATATGATTTAGCACTGCGAGTGTTTATAATTATTCTTATCATTTAGTATATTTTAGCTTGTAACTATTATTGAATAATTTTTACAGTTCATCATTTTTATTATTCTTACAGGGCGACTTTTGCCCATATAGACATGAACCATCTGCTCTAGGTTGTGAAACTACATGCACATATTGGCAGCAAGGAAATTGCCTTAATGAGCACTGTAACTTCAGACATATGGAATTGAAGGTAATTATCATTTCTAGATAAGCTTATCACACTTGATCATGTATGGAATAAAATATTCGATTTCTGATAATTTATATAAATGTGCTAATTTGTATAACAAATTTATATATTTATTGATTAATATACTTATATTTTATACATGTAAAATAGTGTTTTACTGCATTTTACTGTAGTAACACTTTATTTAATTCTATTGTTACAAAAAATTCCATCCGTTTAAACTATTTATCTTTTTCTTTTAAGTATCACAAAAATTATTATTAATTATTGAGTCTTAATAGAATTATAATAATTAAATATTATTATTTTATTTTCTCTTTAAAATATAAATCTGTGGAATTTAATGAATTAATATATTGTAGCATCATTATTATTTTTAAAAAATAATTATTGAAATAAATGCATGATTTAAAATAAAATAGATTACATATCATAGATATTTAAACATATTCAGTCAAATTATTTTAAATATTAAAATTTTTAAAGATAAGAGCATATATTAACTTTTTATCTTTCTTTTAGAAAAATCGCAAGTCAATTCCTTGTTATTGGGAGACACAACCTGGAGGATGTAGGAAACCACATTGTCCATTTTTGCATGCGAGTCCACGCAATATTACTAATGATCCTATCAATCCTGTGAAAACCACAGAAGTAGCAACAAAATCTCCTAATCAAGAATGGCTCAATCGTCAAGGTAAATGTTTTTTATCATCATAAATACATTTTTTTAGATTGATAGCAATGAAACTCGTATAAAACTCATTTGTTTAGTTGTAATTTTCATTTAAAAAATTTTGTTTTTTTGTTTAAAAAAAGATTTGGTTATAAATCGTCTTACACATTAATTTATGGATTTTCTGTTTTGATGAAAAAACAATAGGAAAAGAGTTTAGATTTATTTACATCAATATTATTTTAATTAATTAATTTAATATTATTAGCAAATTGAACAGAAAAACAATATTGCTTACTTCAAGTTATCTTTTGGCTCATTTAGATTCTATATTTTCATTTTATATAAATGCGACAAGATGGTATACATATTTGAAAATATATAAGCTAAAATAATCAAATTAATATCATGCATTTATGATAATGACTATTGTTGTATATGGACAAATATTTTTACATTTTTTTTTATATTATAAAGATGACCCCAAATATGACGGCAGCAGTACTACTGAGTCGGACCAAGGTAGAGGAAACAGCGAGGCTGGTAGTTTTATTGGTAGTCCCGCCGTTGATCCTCTCATCGTCAAATTTGAAGAAGGTATGAGGCTTTACTAGCCCCCCCGTCCATCTTTCAACGTACATTATCTTACGTCAGCTACTCTCTCTCTACCGCCTAGCTTGCAAACAAATATGAATCTCCCGAACGCGCTCGGTATCCCGAAGAGCCTGACAATTCCTAACAATCCTAACAGTCTCAACATCCCTGGTAGCATCAGCGTCACAAATAATCTAAACGTTCCACCGCCAACCAATTCGCAATCCTCTCCCTGTCATCATACGCTGTCGTATCCACATCATCAACAAAATTTACACTCTCACTCCCCCGGACAGTCTCTGTCGTCATTGCAAAATCAACAGAACTCTCCACTCCTCCAGCAATCGCCATATACGTCGATTCATACGCAGCAAACTCCACAACCTCAGACATCCCGATTTCCTTTTCCGTTTCTCGGTATAACGTCGTATAGAAGATTTTAAAATCGACGAAAACTGTGTGTTGTTAGTCTTTGCTAAGACATATGTATAATTTTCTTCGTCAACCAATACAGAAATACTTTCGAAGAATTCATGAATATTTAAAATCTTTTCAGTTTTCGATGGTTAAGTTGTTATACTATCGATTCTGTGCTATTATATTCTTTGATATAGTGAATAAGTTGAGATAATTTAAACACATTTGGCATAAGAAACGATGAATTACTACGAAAGTATCATTCTGTATGATGATTAATTGTATATATCTTTCTAGCAGCGAAAGATACATAACGGTAAAATCTTGCGTCGATTTTAACATAATAAATTAATTCACGACGTTAGGTCATGTATACACAAAGTACATTCCCAATATTTAATTGATCTTCACTTTTGAACGTGTTTCGTGAAATGGATTGATCTAATGAGGTGCAACTAATATAAAAAAACATTCATGTCACACATTATTGTAAATTGCAGAGATGATATGATTTTATTAAGAATTTTATTACATTGGTTGCTCTTATTGCAGCAATCATTTATGTTTGTACGGTTTATACAAGAAGCTTATTTATTCATTCATTTGTGTGTTATCATGGGGTAGAGGTATATAACATACAATATGTCTACATAGATCGAATTCACATTTTTAAGAAATTGGCACTTATTGGTAATCATAATATGATCATTGAAATATACAATCGCCCAATCGTATTAATCGATCTTATTGATATAAATCTAGCACTCGTGTTACCACGAAAAATTTAGTAGTGACTATCGATTTTTACAGGGGCTGCTATATCTAAACTTTGCCTAAATTAGCCCTCTAACTGCCTATGGCTATCTTTCTCCGGCTGCAGTGCAATCGAGCTCAAATTACCAGAATGGTCTTAAGAAAAACTTAAGAAAAACGAGGTTCAAGTGTCTTCGTCAATGCTGTAAGATCGCGAAAGCGAGAACTGTGGTAGACGAAGAAGAAGATAGCTATGGGTCGTCGCTTTATCACACACACGCACATATATGCACACAGAGACATACACGTACATACACATAAATTTTTTATATTCATATAGATCTTGCTCTTAGTTGCGGAAAGCTGGCATTTCAATGTTAATCGGGTATTTGTAATACGACGAATGAGCCTCACTCGTTTTAGGTTTGCGTCTTTGACGAGAGAGTGTTTTGCTAGCATTTAGAAAGTTTATTTTAAATATCGCTCCGCGCCTCTTCCCCTTCTTCCGGATGTGCGGATTTGCATTACATCCCTTGCGTGGCCGATCGAAGGAATATATATATATGTAGCATATATTCGGGTTAGCCGATATATACATCTCTTTAAAAGAAAGAAAAGAAACCTGCGCATTGTTCTGTCGGTCACGTCTGGGCTGAACCAAGTGCAATGGCGAATAATAGGAAATAATTGAAATATTTATGTCTAAACCAATAAGTGCGCGAGCATGTATGCTTTCTTTGATGTCACGTACTTTATTATTATGCGTGAGATGCGTGATGTAGAAGAAGAACGAAAAGAATAACGAGAGAAAGAAAATGAGAGAGAGAGAGAGTGTGTGTGAAAGAAAGAGAGAGAGAGAAAGATAGAGGGAAAGAGAGGGAGAGAATGAATGAATGACTGAAAGAAAGGGATAGAGAAGAGAAAGAAGGAGAAATAGATTTATATAATGAAATAATATTCGCGCGCGAATCCGTGTTTATAAAGATTTAAACAGATTCCAATCGCGTCCTTGCCTTGTGTTTTACGCGTGCACGAATAATAATGCCTTCATATGTTTTGGCTTCTCACGTGAATTTGAGAATTTCAGGACGGCGAAATGGAAATAACGTGATATCGCGCTTCATACGGAGCTTGCGCCGGACGATAAATATGCAAATTTTCGCAGGCCACGATAATCCCGATGTTGTATCTTTTCAACAAGGGTAATTGAAGGAAAAATGAAAAAAAAAAATGATAAAATATAGATTTAAAATGTAAGTCAAGCGTGATCTTTTAAACGCTCTAAAGAGCACGAGTTTAACAATTCGGCTTAGAAGCTTGCTTTCTACGTGATAATGTTAAACGCCGATGTTTATTATATATCGAATAAAAGAATACGATCGCCAAGAGAATATTACATATTATACTGATTCACTTTTTACGAATTTCCGTATGATAATAGGATATAATGACCCTTAATTGAGGCGTTGAGAATAAAGAAACTTAATATGTAGATGACACATTTTGAAAAAATTCTAGTTAAATACCGATAATCGTAGCGAAGAATTCACAATTTAAACTTAGCTTTCATTTTCAGCAACAAAGATAATTCTTTTATTTTCAGCGCCTCAATTTTTTTCTGATATATCGCACATTTGATCTTGCGAACACTCGTTAGATCAGCAGAAAGATTAAAAAAACTCTTACTCATTAAATAATTTATCAAATTATTAATCTTGCACCGATGGAAAATTTTATAATCAGGGAAAGTATTATATATATATAATATAGGATGTGAAAGAGAGAAAGATATATATATATATATATAGGATATGCTGGTCTTTTACAATAGTAATAAATCGCATCACAGCTAAACGAAAAAAGGAGGGAAGAACGCAAGGAGATATCGAGAAGAAATAACGTAAATCATTTAGGAAGATTCCGGTTTTTCCCGAGTTTCCGATAGCAAGCTTTTTTTTTCGAGTCAACGGTGCATATAATAACTTGATAGACTAAATGATATAGAAGGGGCAAAGCGTCCTATCGTTATAAAACATACACGCGATGAAAAAAAGAAATAAATTACAAAATTTTATGAGGAAATTATTGAAATATTGAGTTGAGTGAATATATAATAGAGAGAGAGAGAGCGAAAGAGAGAGAAAGAGAGCGAGAGAGAGAGAAAGAGAGAGAGACTGAAAGGAGAAAGAAAGAAATGAATAGATACATACACATCACATACATATACGCGTATATTTGTATGAAAAATACGCGATGTAAAATAGAAAACTAGTAAGTTTTCTTACACGATAAATGTTTTACACGCATATATATTATATTTAACTATATATTAGAGAATTATATATATTTTTTTTTAATATGATCGTGATTATTGTCGATATAAAGGGCTATCGCATGGGTTTTTTTTTTTTTTTGGAATACTCGTGTATTGGCTTTCATTCACGGTTCTCCGCGCAAAATTTGCGCGCGTATTTCGATTGGCAAGAATTTTGTGCCTTCAACCGTACAGAGTTTGCCAGTTTGTTTGTGTTCGCGTTATGCCAGAGTAATTTTTTTTTTTTTTTTAATGTACGAGATATTTTTCAACGGCGCGTTAAAATAAACGCCGATCTGGATGGATTTGCACGGTGAATTTCCCCCTTTAAAACAGAGAACGACGCGCAGGTCTTCCAAGAAAGGAGCGAGTTCGATAGAATTCGATCAAACTCGCACACCCGGATCTATAAAATCTATGTGCAAAAAAAAAAAATATGAAACGTACAGGAATATAAAATATGACTGCGCGCGTGAATTTGAAAGGTAAAAGAGTCTAGTAGCGAGAATGTAATATGAAAAAATGCGAGGATGATTATCGAAAAAGAAAGAGAGAGAGAGAAAGAAAAAGAATGTATCTAACAAATAGTGTGCATAGATAGTGTGACAGATATGATAAGTATGAAGAATATGGACCTGCAGCGGCGGGTCCTGTCACTGCCCTTCGACGAAGGGTCTTTATCTGTGCGAATAGAGTCTCGAAGGACGAAGCGATCCACGTATGTGTGAGATCGTGGGTTTTCCTTATACTTAACATCTATCCACAATTAACTATATCGAAGACTATCGACAGAATCGAAGAATTCTGCAGGCCTACTCTGTAACTTTTAATGCATGCATTATAACTATAACGCATTTTTTGTACATAGGTACGAATCCTGTAACGCATGCACTGTAATTATAGTTCGGGCGTTTAAAGTTGCAGAATAGGCCTGCTGATCGCGATGACGATGACATCGCAAGCTCGCCGCGGACCGATAAATCCTTTTTCCTGCTCGTTAGCAAGTCGTTATATCGTCTGCGTTGATCATTGCGGTCTCATTGATTGCAAATTCCGTAATAAGCGGTCGTGCGAGCCACGGGCGATGCTCGTTGTCTCATTCGGATGCGAGACAGACGCATCTCGCTTTCGTCGAGATGAAATTCGATGAGCGATGTACATCTTTACAGAGAGTATGCGATTCTCTCTCGGTTGCGATTAAGTCGGCGATTTATGCACGATGTTGAATGTTTGGATATCGCCACCGTAATCGTATTGTAAGTCTAAGTTTCGAGAGACAGCGAGTATACGCGATGTTTTCTTTATATCGCCACGGCCTGTGACTCATTCAATTTGTCCGCGTGTGCGCCCTGGAAAAAGCGCGTCTGTAAACGTAAGCTGAAAGACAGAAGATAGAAAAAAAGAAAGAGAGAATGTGTGTGTATGTGTGTGAGAGCACAGAGAATATTATATATATACATATATATATTATATACTATATATATATATGTTACACGAGAAAAGGAGGCGATTGCGTACAACGCGATTCTCGCTCCTCGATCTTCGTTTTGTGTAAGATCATTGTTTATTTGTTAATTTGTTAATTCGATTTTTTGTCCGTATTTTTCCCTCCTTGTGATTATTGGGAGCGCAAAGAAGCGACGATTATCGTTATCATTGTATATGTATCTCGCGATTATTGCGCCATCGACGCTCTTGCATTCGACGAGGAAGATCACGAATTTGTTCTTTTTTTTTTCAAGGATCATATAAATTGTACGACGATCTGTCAGAGACGATCACGTGGAATGCAGAGTCGTCGGTGCGTGTGTAATGGCAAGAACGGCATAATATCAGAGCGAGCCGACAGTTTTTCGATCGCTCTTCTCCGACTCTTTGCTTTCGTTTCCCTGACTCGCGCTCGAGTCTCTTGCCGATTAATCTCGAACGATTGTCTCCGATTATATACTTTGTATTCTTTTACCCGTGTTTTCTCTGACTTCCCTCGACTCGCGACCGAGCGATACCTTTCGTCGTTACAATGCGTGCGAATCGAGTCGCGAGTGATTTTTCACGACCGTACGCGCGACCGAAGCCCTGTTTCTCTAACGTTCTCTCGTTATTTCATCGGTTCTTCTCTTTTAGTTTTCCTTTTCTTTTTTCTATGTATTTTGGCCTCGGTCGCGTGGCAATCATGCGACGAACTTTAAATTCGTTGAAGTAACAGTCGACGGTTAACGATTCGAGGATGTCAACAAGTCGAGCCCGCGAACCCGCCTTCCTGCGATCGGGATCTGTCTCGTGGACGAGAAACAAACTCGTCTGCAGCGCGGACGAGACTCTCGGGAGCTCGACCAGGTTGTTCGGGATCCCTGAAAATCGGAATTGAAATCATGGCGATGAAGAGTGACAACATCCGCGATCGTTTTTACGTCGACTTGTTACGGCGACGCAGAAACGCGCGTTCGTTCTGCTTCTCTTGTCTCGAACGCGAATGATAGAGAAGAAACAAAAAAAAAAGAAAACAAATAAAAAAAAACGAAAGAGCCTTTTTTCTCAGCCAAATTTATGGCTGCGAATATGTAGAAGAGGAGAAAGATTGATTGATGCTAAAGAATAAGATGCGCAATTTAACTATAACGAATTGATGTAAGCGAATGGAAAAATCAATACTTTTCATTGAGATGATATCTGGATTTCAATAAACTTGATACCTCGAAAACCATACGGACAATCGACCCGGAGAGCGAGCATATGACCGGTAATTATACGGTGACAATTTTTTGACAATTATTCCCATTACCGGCGATGCTCTTCTCAATGGGGCTTCTTATTTCACTTCTTTCCATCAATCGTAATTTCATTCATCTTTCGATTATTTTATAAGGAACGTTATTTTCGTTATTTTTAAAATTTATAATTTTTGCGATCATGATGCAGTCAAGATTTCTCCGATTTTGTGCTTTTCTTTTTTAGATTAAGTAATGAACTATTTAAGTTATTATGCAAGTAAGTATTAGATGTTTAAAGTGTGAATTAAAATGTGCCGATAAGAAGCATTTCCGTTTTGCATAATTTTGAATCTGACGACAAAAGAGAGATCTGCGGAGAAATCAATTTTAAACGGATAGAAATAAGAAAAAAAATCGCGGCTCTTGAAAGAAATGTATGTATGATGGGAGAGAAAGAAGTGGGATTTTTTTACTGTATTAAGAAAGTTTCATTGTGTAGATTAAAGCATGATTTAACACTCAAGTGCTGATCAAGAAATACACGAAAGAGAAGATATAAAGAGATGAAAAAAAGAACATGAAGTTAAAATAAGTCTAAAATCGAGTAACTAGAGAAAGAAATGCGAGATAAAATCGAGATAATGAGAAGAGAATCCGCTTAAGAATTAATCACGATTTCAAGGACAGAGAATGAGATCGAAAACTATAAATCCTATCCAGATTTCCCTTTTACACAGAGCGCGCGAAACACGAGATTATAATTTACAATATAAAAAAGCATTTGAAAAAAACCATTGCGATTGACTGCGAAGAAAAATTTGAGAGAGAGAGAGAGAGACATAAATTATCAATTATTCTAATTTTCCATTATATAAAGTAAAATTAAGTCTACAATTTCTGGTAATGACAAATGAGAAATAAATCATTGAAACTATAATCAGCAGATAATTGATTGCTTTATGATTTAAAAAGAGAGAGAGGTAGAGAAAGATAAATGCAAAAGGAAAGAGAGAGAGAGAGAAGCTGATTTTATCTAATATAAACGACCATCAACGAAAGTGATGCCTTCTTCGAGATAATCCAGATGATTATTTGATGTTTCTTCCAGAATCCGATAATGAAAGTGCACCGTCACCAGTAAAATCGCAGCCCAAGGTACCCTATTGCAAGACCTACGAGCAGATGAGACTAGAGGAAATCCAGGCGGAGAGTGCGGCATATTATTCATACGAGGGTGAAAACGATACTAAACTTTTCCCCAATCCGGATATTGGCAAGGCTAAGAGGATAATCAGCGCTAATCGATGGGTGAATTCACCCAAGACGGAAGAACCGGTAAAGGAATTGGACTTTAAAGTGTTGAGTCTGGAGGAGATTCGACGACGAAAGAAGGAAAGAGAGTTGGCCGCTAAAGCTTCGACGGAGTCTTCGCCGATTGAGACGATGAAAAACACGAAAAAGCGTTCGATCGAACAATGCAATGAGGAGAGCTCGAGTCCGACGAAGAAGCGCAGGATCAGCTCCGAATTCGTCAAGGGCGAATCCGTCATCAAGATACCACCGGTAAAATTACGAAGGTCACTGAAAAGCGCCATTGTAAGGAATATCGAGACTCGCAAAGACATGACCGGAACACTAGACGATCAGGATGACGAAATGTCAGGGTGTTGCGAGAGGTTGGAGAGCCATACTGATGAGTCGACCAACGCGAACAGAAGAAGCGAAGTGGAGATCAGATTGTGCGATAGTAGTACAAACGAGGAGAAAACTCAAACGCAACCGGAACAAGCGGCGGATGACAGGAAATCAGTCGCTACGTACACGGCGGAGGATATCGTGAATAACGCACTATTGGTGGTCGGTCGACCATACGCAAATACCGAGGATGAGTATCTGAGATTAGATACCACGGCCGATGATATTATGAGAGATATCGAAGACTTGCTCAAATAGAAAAACTGCGATTTAAACGACTTTAGACGAATCTATGCATCTAGAAATACTCGCTGAGTATTATATTCTACGCTCTTTTTCTTCAAGGTTCAAAAATGTTTAAAAAAATTTGACAAAAAAATAATATCTATTTTCTCTTTTTTAATATTTCGGTAGACGTAAATTAAAAACTTCACTTTAAAAGGGGAAGGATTATATCGTTACGATCTCTAGATAATTATTTAACCAATAATTCATATTAAGGTTCCATTCAACTCTTTAACTTATTGAAATTATGTTATCTTAATTTTAGCCGAATTGAAAATTGCACATTAATTTCAATAAGTACATAAATCAAAATTTCTCTCATATTTCAATCATATCTATATGAGTTTTTTTATCTTAATTATAAAATTTCTCGTGAATAATTAAAATAATACATAATAAATATAATATTCCAAACGTGCAGTAATGCATAAACATCATTTGGAAATGCATGAAAGTTAAATTAAAATCTAGTAATGAAGCTCTCTGATACGGAATGATATTTCGCTACACATTTCGAAATTAATAATTAATAAATTTTTTAAAAATATAATAATAAGAGAAAGTAAATTCTATATATATTTCAAAGTATCAATACTTATATTTTAATCGATATTGTATGCCTTTGAAGACTCTTGATCTTTTATTGATGTTACATCATATTGAATTATGATATTAGAAATCGTGTGAATTATTTTTTTGCGAAATCTATATTGTAGAAATAAATTAATTTTATTTTTTAATTTGCTACTAGTCATCATAGTATAAATCAATAAAATATATCGAAAATTATCTTTTTTAATTCTAATTAATTTTTAAGTCTAAATTAGATTAATAAATAGCTACAAATTTTAATTAATTGTCACAAGATTCATTTTTGTTGCAAATAGGATTGTAATATAAATTATATAAATATATAATTATATATTTATTAATAAAAAGTGTTCGGTATATCTGAATGTGAATAATATATTGAATGTGAATAATATAATAAATAAAACTAGTCTATTCTGATATATTTCGTAAAAAAAGCATTCACGATTTTTCATTTCATAATTCAATATGATTATAAGAAACAAGAGTCTTAAAAACTAGCTATGGATTGAACATATATCTATTATATGATATTAATTTTAAAGCCCATAAACATTTTGTTTTCGTATCAAATCAAGTGAAAAATTATAATAATGTTATAGGTATTTAAAATTATATAATAATATTTTTTATGTGCACATACACATTGTTGCAATTTTGTAATAGTTCGCTGGGCTTTGTATAACTCTGGTATATATATTACTTCTTTTATTATTCAATATAGTCCATTAATAATACATCACAAAGATGTAATTTAGAAGATGTAACTTAGTGAGCCCAGAGAAAAAATTAAATATGCACATTTTTATACTTTTGTTATCAATTTTTTTAGCTAATTAATTATAATAAAAGTACAATTTTATCATATCAATGCTAATTTCACCCACGAGTATTGCTTTTTTACTCGCAGAAGTAATCCAGAGTTAATTGCGCCAGCAGATCTATATCGCAATAGATAATTTCTAGTGAGGAATTAGGAAATAACAACATGTGTCTTCGAATGTAAATTAATTATTAAGTCGAAATAAATATACAATTGTTACATTTGCAAGGTAAAACGATGATCTCTTTCTGCTTGCACACATTCCGCTTTCCTTTATTTTGTTATAATTGATTCAATTGTTTCGATTTGGACGATAATACAGGAGGGATCGTTGATATCTTGATTATCGATTATGCTAAAAGGATTAACGAAACGGCATCGAGATACATATGAATTATCGGATCGAGATGAACACGTTCGGGAAGAAGTTGCGCTTGATTTCTAATAGGAAATTTTACGATTGTTATTTATCTTGATCAACCAGTATTAGATACATGATTGCTTTACTCTTTGCAATTAATATTTGATATAGCAAGGACGAATGTATACGCTAGGATCTCACGGATTCCGATTAGAAAACAAGCATTGAGAGAACTCTCGATTAAATGTACACACTATTTATTTAGAATGCATAATCATACGCTTAACATATCTGGCCTAAGGGAAATCACAATCGGCATTTTCGGTCCTTTCTATTTGTCTCTCTCTCTTTCTTTCTCTTTCTCTCTCTCTCCCTTTCTCTCGAACCTTGCACCGAATATAAATTACGAATTGATTTTATCAAGTGTATTTAGAGAATTATAGAGTCAACTATGTATATATTTATATATAAATGACTGGGTCGAGATATTCTTACGATGTACACACAACAAACTCACGTTTATTATCTCCTGACTCTCTCCGCTCTGTTTTACACGAGTATAAATAATAACATAATACCGACTTAGAAACTATTTTTGTTTCCCTTTCTCTCGCCTACAAGAATTACATCTACGAAACTTTGCGAATAAAAACTGCGAGAATTATCGAGATCGATTTTCTCTCTTTTCCCTCTCCGATTTTCACGCTAATTATTTTTACACGAGTTGCACATTGCCGATGATTCATTTTTTTTTTCACCGCGTCTCACCTTGCCCGATTCTATTTCAAAGATATTGGAAGTATAATTGTATACGAAATGAAGCTGAGTAATTATAAAAGTGTGCATATACGTGAATGTGATATTTTGGAAGATTTTCCATATAACACCTTGCCGATCATTTTGATACTATATATGATACATCTTATAAAAAAATTACCACGAGCTGATTGACATACGTATTACAAAGATCATGTATTCTTATGAATTATCGGATTTTGATGAAGCGTCTCGAAATAAAGAAGAGAAATGTCTCTTTACATACGTACGTTATGATATCAACATTGTTAGTAAAAGTGCGAAAAAGCAGCATTAATTGTCTATAAATAATAAAGGGATTTGATCGGGAAGATGTTAATCATAAGTGTAAATATTAATTTTCAATACAGGATATTAGGAATTTTAACGATGAACAAGATTCAACATCATCATACACAGAAATTGATTAATCCGCCCATTGTAATCCAATTCGGCATATTTGTATTATAATTACACAATTATGATTTATCATTAATACATAAGCAGATTCAATCATTTGGTTAAAAATGTAGTCGAATAGATAGAACGGATTCTTTTATGAGTCTCAGATGATTTTTTCACACAGGTAAATATCAGCGAATTCACGAACAATATCGTTTCTTCGGGAAAAATTTCTGTGTGTGAAATGATGTTCCTGACGCATTCATTGCCTTACAGAAACGGAAGTAGTGGACGCGAACACGGACAAATCAAACTCGTTTCCATGCAGAGCTTTGACTTAAACGAAACGCACGGGTGTCATAGCTCATTTTGATTTTTGCTACGAGACAGAGTCGCACGCACAAACAATCAACATCATAAAGTGCGGAGACTTGGCACCACGATCACGTATAACCGTGTGCGTCGTTCTTTTTCGGTAACGTAAACTAGACGAAGAAGCTCAAGTCTACGGAGACGAGGTCGACGTCGACGACCACCACGGTCACTGCAGCCTCGGTGACCAATATTGTGCCGCCATATCGGGCGCCGGTTGACCTGGTACCGCGATCGGCACACTCACGCCAGGTGATATTAGACCTGCAAGAGAATCCATTGTGACATTCTAATAAATTTGTAATAAATTTTTGTGGACAAATACTTTGCATGCAAAGAAATTCTCTTGCTAAATTGCTGGTTTTCTCGAGAAAAATTTACATACAATTTCGTGTGTTTATGTAATTGATTTAACACACACATATATGAAATTAATAAATGTTAGTAATGATAAGAGATAAAAGAAGGGTAACAGTAATCAGAGCATTCCTAAAATCTCGATTATCTTTTGAGATTCTGTGTGTGTATATATTATTCTATTTGTGTGTATTTGCCAAAAATATTATTTTATCATTTCACCATCAAATTAACCATTTAGAGATATAAGAGAAATAATAAACACAAAATCAGTGATAGCAATGACAATATAAAGACGTGCATTTAATTATATTTTCCTATGATAAAAATAATCTATTTTTAAAACACGCATACCGCGTTTTGCCAATATAAATTGCACATCACTCTACTAACACCTACAATCCATTAACTAGAAATAAGAAGCGTTCAGGCGGCTAATGTAGGCGATGTAGCCGAGTAGCTTTACGGACACCCCGTAAAACTAGATCGCATTTACTGAGATATAATGAGATGGGGAAATCTCTCACGGGATCGTTCGATCGGGGATACTTTGAGGGGCACCAAAGGGGCAGGGGAAGACAGAAGCGTGTATAATCCATTACCGGCGGGCTCGATAGCGTGTTATCCATGGTAGCCGTAGTAGTAGTCCATCGGCTAGAGTGCAAGCAGCGAATGCAGTGAGTGCGGTAGACACTCACCGGTCGAGCTGGCGTTCTGATTGTACTGATTGAGACCCGCCGCATGATAGGGCTGCGTGGGGCTGCAAGTGGGCCTAGCGCCGTAGCCTAGATGAAGGGGTTCGTAACTCGGCGGTCTCGCGACCCCGCACGAGTAGCCGTTGTCCCGTTGCTGGAGGCACGCGCCGGGACTCGGTCCGACAGTCATACCCACGGTCATGCCCATCGGACTCATACCACCCCCGGTGGACAGCGAGGACATGCTGCTCGTCGTGTGCTGGTTCTGCTGGCTGGCGCCCGACATCGTGAAGCTCGGCATTGACGTCATTGGGCTGTAATGCAAAGAAAAAGAATCACGCGATTGCGATTATTTCCTCTTCTATTGTCAAATATAAAAAGCTTTTTTTAACTATATGTCTTCCGATATCACTTTATCAAAGTAGTATCTGAATTAAATGCGTATTTATCTTGACAGTTTTCTCATTTTTCTTTTATTATATAATATATAATATAATATTTGAAATAAAATATATAAAAAATAAATATTTTTTATATAAAATATATAAAATATATAAAATATATAAAAAATAAAGATATAAAATATATTTATTATAATTATATATTTATTATTTGTGAAGGTAATTAATCGTACGTTATTTCAATGTGTGTATATTAAATAAGTAATTTGAAAATATTTGTATTTCCATAGAAAAAAACAAACGTTTGAATATTTCATGAACCGAAACACACTATTTGATTTTTTAATTTGTGCATATTTGAAATATGCTCACCACTGGATAACTGATTTTATCGCAGAAACAATCATCGATTTAATATCTCTATTTTGGATAGATTAATCTCGGTGAATTTTTTCGTATTTTATTCTCACCTGTATGAGTCGGGCATGCTGGGTATTCCAGGATATACAGCGGTGGGCGCAAATCCATGGTGTATTCTGGGGGGCGAGGGTGGTGCCTGCGGTGGTGGCTGGCCCCCGAGTATCCCCGAGGGTGGCGGCGGTGTCGGGTGGCCAGCACCCACTAGACTAACACCGGCAGTATGTTGCTGTTGCTGCTGCTGTTGCTGCTGCTGCGATGGCGGATTATCCCTCCGTTGCGTGCGTAATTTCTCCTCGCGCCGCCACTTGGCCCGCCGATTCGAAAACCAGACCTGAGTTAGTAAACGAGAAGACAGACGAAGATACAGATCAATCGCTAGGCTACGGATAACTTTTCGGTTGACAATCGTGGACGAAACGGCTCATTACATTTTAGACCTGTATATATGCGTATAAAAAATAATATCGTACTTTTGATACAAGTAATAAAAACACGAAGATTAAGAAATACCGCTACAACGAATACCGTTTTCTTTCAGAAACTGCCAACCAACTGCCAACACTATTCTTACAGCCACAAATATGACATCAGTATCATATTCGAGCATTAAAAGGTACAGCAAACTTTCATATAACAAGTGCCGAGAAATATATAATTATCAATGAAATATATAAAAATTCACCTTGTCCTATAATTCTTAAACGATGAATAGCTATTTTATATATATATATATATATATATATATATATATATATTAAATTTAAGACATTAAATGTTAAATAAGATGAAAAGTAACATTTAATACGTATATAATATTAGAAATCATTAGAAACTTGAAAAATTGTCATGTGGTTGTAAAGGTTGTAAAGGATATGACATCACGATATATTATACATAGATTTATATATAGATATTATATAGATTAAGTTATAATATTTATAAGAGTTATATGTTATTCATTTAAAAATAAAACTACTAAAATTAAATTAATTAATACTTAGGAGATCCGTTATATAATTATATTTTATATATATATATATATATATATATATATATAAAATATAATTATATAACGGATCTATATATAGGATATATATATAAAATATAATTATATAACGGATCTATATATAGGATATATATATATATATATATATATATATATATAAATGATTTTTATAACAATATAAAGATGGAATCAATGAGCTACAGTTTAGGATCGCGAACATTGCTTTCCAAATATTTTAGAAGGATTTTTTGTCGTATTCATATTGACACAAAACAATATTTATTACCTTTTCGTTTTTAATTACAAATCTTTAATTGTGACTTCATGAGCAATGACTTTTAGCGTTTTTCAAAATCTTATTTTTAAGTTGTTTTCAATAATAATTTTATAGCAAACATTAATATTTCTAATGTTTTATGAATCTATAATAATAATTTTATTTAAAATAATAAAAAAGAAATAAAAAATGACCCCATTATTCTACTATAGCTATACTATAGCTATGCAAGTATTCGACAAGGATATGCAATGTTGCGCCGAATAGTCACCTGTATTCGTGCCTCCGGTAGGCCGATCTTGCCGGCGAGTCTCTCTCTGGCGAACACGTCCGGATAGTGCGTCCTCTCGAACTCTTTCTCGAGGGCGTCGATTTGCTCGTTGCTGAAGCTCGTACGATTCCTCTGCAGCTTCCTCTTCAGACGTAAACGCGCCTGATCGTCATCGGCGCCGCCCGACACGCTGCCGGCGTTGCTGTTGTCACCCCCGCTGTTCGTCTCGTCCGAATGCGCGCCACCCTCGAGCTCGGTTACTGCAATGTATCGCACACCGTTATCAACGTCTGTTGCACCCCAAAAGCTACTTCTCTTTATATACTTTATATGAATTAAATATAGTATCGATTGAATATAATATGAATAATTTTCGAATTAAAAGAATTAACACAATTTTCTATTGGATAAAATATTAAATCCTATTGTTGATTTAATCTTTTTTAAAAAAATTTTGTGAAAAGGTGATGCAGATATATCTCTAAGAGAATTTTTGACATCCAACAGAATTTTAAATTGATGTATTAAATAATTTTTTATATATTTTTGATTTATCAAGTTTTAACCCGAATTGATCCATGAATAAATTGAACGTAAATTTTATATTTTCAGGACTTTAAAGAAATCAAAGTTACTAGTATTTAATATCGCGAATATATATATTACAAAACTATAACAATTAATGAATCTAGCTTACAGCTGGAATAGGAAAAATTCACTTCAAAAAATTCAAAGAAATTTTTATTCAAATTAAAATCCCTCCCCCATATTACTCGAAAAAATTACACATTCAGATTAATATATAATAATTTTTGTCAAAGTGTATATCGATAAAGACTATCTCTTTTCTAAATCTACTTGTGAGCAAGTTAAGCTTTTCAGGAATCGTTCTCGGTTATAACGGTGAAGGAAATCGGCGATGTATTATCAATGTCAGGATGTGTGATAACGTGTGCCACACGATTTGGGGTTTCGTTTACTCCTCCTTCCTCTCTCTCTCTCTCCCACTAGTTTTCTTATATCAATACCTACATGTGTTATATGCGCTCGCGTCTTTGTACGCGTATCTATTCGTGTGTACGTGTGTATACGTGTGGAGGCGCGTATGTGAAGGAACACGAGCGATATAGGCAGGCGTCGCCGGGTGAACCTTATCGTCGGTTTCTGGGTGAGCGCGTCGAGGCGTCACCGGGTTTGCTTCGACGACGATGAGGGGAACGGTGCGGAGATACAGGGTAGAGTGAGAAGAGAACGATGAAGGAGAACGCGCGGGGGATGAGGCTACAGGGTGCCCGATAAGACGGCGGGCGTCCCGACGCCAGTCGCCGGCCACCCCCCTCACGAGATACGCCACTGTCATTTCGCGACTACTACCACTCCGTTGGAGAGGCTCGAGTTGAAATCTGGCTCGATGTGACACGCGACTTGTCGCTGTTTTATCGAGATTTAATTATACATTCTATAAAATTAAAAAATTCTGTTTCATATAATATTATATATCAATAATTAGTAATAAGAAATTATAATTTTTTCAATTTTCTATTGATTGGTTTTATAGATAGGTAGAAAATAGTATATCTGTGTGTTTTATAATCTTTTCTTTTTACATAACATTTGATATAAGATTTAAAACAATATTGGAAATAATATTTCTAATAGGATTATTACAATAATTTTAACCATTGCATTTTTCTAATAGATATTTCCTATGTGTCCATACATATCATTTTCAAATTTAATTGAAAATATATTTTTAAATAATATTTTATTTAAATGCAAAATATATTATGTTTTCAATAATTTGCATTTAAAAAGTATTCACGATTGAATATCTATTAGTAGATTCTATTTCACATGTATTTTCGTTATAGATTAGTAAGAAATTATGTTAAAATATATTTCGGTGAAGGCAATTAATATTTAATTTATAAGATATATGTGTGTGATATTAATTTCTTGATACATTGTTATTTTGCGGTATAAAAAACGAATAATAAACTTAAAAACAATTTTAAACAAGTAGAAATCGCAGATACTAAAAATAGCTATTATGAGATGAGTATAGATATTATCGAATGATGTAGTGTATTACATTTTCCATATATGACGTCAGATTACGAGCGCCCGCAGATTCGGGGATAACGAAACCGTCTGTAATAATCATCGTAAGCGGCAAAATCCAAGATCCTCCCGATTCACCCTTTCGTTCCCTTCCCCACGTGATTCGCTCGAGGAAACTGGCAGACGGCCACGCTAGTAGCGGCGAAGTTCTCGCGGCTCGGTAGGGTTGGTTGCCTCGAACTTCCTCCCCCGCATGTTGAAGAGAATCGAGTGCGACGTTGGCGTACAAGTTCTCCGATCTTCGTCCTCCTTCTCCATCCCCCACCTACATCTTTCTCCTCATCCAGCCTCGGGTCGCTCCTTCGTAACCGTGTACTGCAAACGATATCTTTAGGGGCGGCCCTTCGTCAGTATCTACGGCGCGGGGTAAACGTTACGAGGGTGTCTTAAGCGGTAATTAAAACCGCCTTATCCTCCTTCCCTTCTACCTCTCCTCTCCCGCATCCGCCACATTTCCTTTCTCCTTTCGTCCTTCCGAGCCTTCCGGAACTTGTGGAGCAACTTCGAGTCTTTGCGGTTGCTGGATCTCGTCTTTATCATCACGGCCGAATCGCGCTACTGTTCATCGTTTCTACGCGTTTCTCTGCTCGCGAGTTTAACAGGGATGCGGAGCTCGACGCGAGCATCGAGTATTTAAGGGGAAGAGATTTGGAGCAAGTATTTGGTAAATTGGGATGAATTGACGAGGTAAAGCAGCAATCAAAAATTTGCACGCCATTTTCATAATATTTCATATATATTTACGATCCCCAGTGATAATATACTTTGATTAAAATTATTAGGGAACTTTTTTAATATCTTATTTTTTAAATAAAAATTGTTCGGGATAATCTTATTAAATGGAGATTAATCTGGAAGATACAAAATTTAGCAGATATACAATATGTAGCAGATATTACAATTTTTTTTAATATCACTGTTATATTAAAATCATTTTATAAATAAAAATTATTCATTTAAATTAAGTAACATTTTTCTTATATAATACTAGTGAATTCCTGTTAATGTATATCTTAATTGCATATAATAAAATTTCGAAATCGAAAAAAGGATTAATTTAATACATAAAGGGATTACATAAATTGTACATAAATTTTAGAGGATATATAAATTTAATTGAGATGATTTTTAATTAATATCTTTTTTCAATTTGGCTATTTTATTCTCTTTTTTAATACGTAAATTGATGCTTCAAATAATTGCATCTATTTGCATGCTTTAAAAGACTGAACTTTAAAGATGCTAAAAATGTTATAGTAGTAAATGTTATATATTTATGCTATTTTATGCGGTAGACAAATAAATATAAATAGATAGATAGATAGATAGAAATCTTCCCAAGGCACAAATCTCCGTGCTAAAGAACGTTTCGAAAGGCAGGAGCTAACGCGGGACCATTTTGCCCATGGAGGGGAATCCACGTCATCCAGGCAGCTTCTCGTTTCCCCCTGTCTCCCTTCGTTCTGGCCCCAACCAGATCATTCGCATCTTCCTTCAACGAATTATCCACCAACCGGGGCTGCCGCGCGTTCGAGCGTGATGGCGGAACTACGTCCGTAGTTTAAACTACCAACATCGTTCGGTATTTTTCCGATATTTTACATGTAACATTTTTGGTAATGTGTTTTGCATTCTTATACATTTAATATGGACTGAAAATATACAGCAGTTTTCAAGAGTTGAAATAAAATATATAAATATATAAAAATATATAAATATATAAATATATAAATATATAAATATATAAAAAATATATAAATCTTTTAAACACGAATTAAGAAACACAATGAAATTTTTACAATGTATTTTATATACAGAGTGTCCCAGTTATCTTTCAAAGACAGATTCCTGGGATCATCTGAAGACGATTTTTCCTCAACGAAAATGTCGAGGCACTAATAATTTTCGAATTACAAGTGATTGGAAATAAGGGGTTTTTCGTAAACTAAGCTTTGTAGAAATAAAATATTAACAAAACCACATTCTTTGATTAATTTTAAATAGAATTTACTTTAGTTGAGTTTTAATTTAAGACTTAATTGTAAAGATATATGATGAAAATCGGAAACTAACATGCAAAAAATGATGGCCTTCATTGACATTTTCGCTGAGGAAAAATTGTCTTCAAATGATCCAAAGAATTTGTCTTTGATGATAACTGGGACAGTATCCTGTATATAATTACAATAATTATATTTTTAATTAGTGTTTATTATAATTTAGAAATTATATAAATATTTGTTCTCTATAAATGTTTTGTTTTTCTGATAATTGTTCTGATAATGTCTCTCCGAAATATATCAGAGCCTAGAGAGAGTTATATACATAACAGATTATATTCATTTTATGTTAATTATCTTGTATTTTTTTATTTTCTAGGAAAGTATTGCTTCTCTTTTAGAGGATTCAAAAAAGGATTTCCATCATGAAACAAGCGTCAGTTTTTTTATTCAAAAACATGGAACCGATCATTTGCGTCGCGTCTTCAAGTCGTATAGAGTCGAGTGTGCAATTGACGAGAACACGAGAAAAGGGACATTTATTAATGTCGATAATGGACTTGGTGGTGCACTTAGCTAAACGTTTTAAAGACCACGTCAAGAGAGCGATATTGTGCCCGAACGTGCGCGGCCGCGACAATGCCTATTGCGAATGCCTATTACGAGCTTTCATTGTGGCATTTGTATCGGTAGTTTATTTTCAATCGTCGCGCGAGATCGGTCCGGGAAAAGGATCGTCAAGCGCAGCCACAGCAAGAATAACAAGAGCGGAGAAACAAAGGATCCTCGGAGAGGGAGAAACGATTTGAACGCGAGAGAAAGAGGAAAGAATGGCGAGAAACTCTCTCTTTCTCTCTCCCTCTCTCTCACTCGAAAGTTTCTGTTGTACCTACGTGCCCTCCTAACTCGACCACGAGAAGTCACTCGAATGAGAAATAAAAAGTAAAAAGAGGAAAGAAAAACACACTCGGCAGAGGAGGACGCTTCCGATCTACTTCTCTCTCCTCTTCCTCTTTTACCGGTCCACATGGGCTATTGCGAATTGAAATTCATGCGTCACGAGGGTTGCGACTCGATGGTCGAAGGAAACAATGCTACACTTACGCATAGATGAAACTTTACGCATAGGGTAAACGGCA